ATTGTTTATTACTTCCAGAAAAAGTATAGCAATAAATTATTACTATAAAAACTTTCTATAATTATTTATATTTATTGTATTTATTGTATTTATTTGTTTATAAATAATATAAACCAAAACTATAAGAATATAATTATTGAAGAGAATATCATATCACTGTATAAAGACTAATCTTTTTCCAGGGATTAATTGGAAAAATGTGAATATAAAAGGATACTCTGTATCCTTTTATATCCTTTATTCTTTATTAATTAGTTTATACTGAAATCTATAAAGAACTACCTTTATACCACTCTAGCAATAATATAAGTTCAGTTCTGTACAAACCATACCCCAATTATAGTACTGATACTATCCGGCCTATTCCCTGCTTGTGATCCCTCACATAAATTATTGAAAATATACTAATAACTCAAGATATATTTATTCAAATCAAATAAAAATTATATCATTCGAATCCTTGAATCAAATTCTATAGTTTGATATATTCAGAATTTTTTCTTTTCATTTGTTATTGATTAATACTAATTTATATTTAAATCTAATCAATAAGTAAAATATCACCTGATCCCAGCAGGATTAGCTAAACTTATTGATATGATAATAGGCCTAAATCATAATAAAATCGAAGGATAAGTGAAGGATGACTAAGCCGCGGGATCCCCTCTCGTGATATTGGATGGGAAACTATTATCTCGATGATGACTCATCAAAGTTAACAAAGAAATGAACAGGATTAATCAATATTTAACTTTATGGACTGTCATGATCCTACGAAATATGTTCATTGGTACTAATCAATATATTCTGATTTACTTATTGTAGTTGCGAGATCGCTTACATGCGACCCCTAAACTTGTTCAATAGCCTTCGGATCCACTTCATCCAGTCGAAGAATGGGCGACTACGAGGAGTGTGGCGAATTCCAGGCCGTGTGTATCAACGCTGGAGATGACGAAGGCGCCGATATAACTTTTGAATACAACGGCAAACGCATCACTGTGTCACTCTTCGCAAGCTCCTCCTGCCAAGCAAGTGGGAATTCGCAGCACGAAAACTACATCGAAGATCGGTTGATCCGCCTTTTAAACCAAGCTGTCACTGCCGATGACGAAGATTATGACGAGCTCGTGGACGAGGCATCCGACGTTATCCTTGGCCTTGGAAAGATTCTCTTCTCGCAGGTGGCGCCACCACTGCCTGTTTCCATCCTCTCCGATCAAGACTTGCACTCGCATCTCTATCCTAAGACTCTCAACTTTCGCCTCGAAACCGTCGATAATAAAGCCGTCATCTTCCCCATCAGCCCAGACGACACAATCTCGCTCCCAGATACTGCTCCGGATCCTGATTTGGAGACTGATTTCCAAGCTGACAGCATAATCCCTCAGTACTCTTCCAGAGAGGTCATCATTCAACGTGTCTTTGCCAGCGGGAACAATACTGTCAGCAAAGTTCAGGTCGGTTCTCAAACTATGCTGTGCAAGGCTCACAGGGCAGGACTTCAGGACCCAAACCTTAAACAAGAGCTAGTCAGCGTACAGAAAATAAGGGAGGCTGGCATTAATTCTCGCGCGCAAATTCGCGTCCCAAGCCTTCAAGGATATGTCAGACATGCCGATTCAGGAGCAATCATCGGACTGCTGCGTGATTTTATCCTGTCTGGCGTCTACGGCGGCACCTTACGCGATGTAGATGTGTCTGCTGTGCCAAAGGAAATGAGACGGAAGTGGGCAAATCAAATACGCGAGACTGTGGATGAGCTACATGAGGCTGGAGTAGTTTGGGGAGATGGGAAGGCGTCTAATGTAGTCATGGATCAGAGTGACAACGCCTGGCTTATTGACTTTGCGGGTGGGTGGTCGAAAGGATGGGTGGATGAGGAGCTGGCTGGCAGCAAAGAGGGTGATAAGCAGGCCGTTAGAAAGATATCAGAATTCTTGAGCGTGGCCTGAAATGGGGATGCATAACCCAGACCCCGAAGGTAAGCCCAGCCAGGCAGCTAAGCTCTAGAAACGACCATAAGATTTGGTACTCTTCAGTCACAAGTCAAGGATAAAGCATTTCGATTTGGGGTGCAGTGGAGTCGCTGACAGGCCACTTCGCAACAGCTGAGCAGGGCTTGGATTCACCCAGAGCCTTCATGACTCATAGTAAGCATAGTAAGGCTCCAATAAGTCGGATTGGCGTATATACTTAGGCAATGGATACGGCGAATCCAGTCTAGGCTATTATGTGGTAATTAGACTCAGTAATTTGATAGCGATTGAGGACGGGAAAACTGGAAAAAGATTGGGGTGTGCATTCGTCCTTGCACTTGCACATACATTTTCACTGAGGGTTTGTTTCACTCTCTTTTTGCAAAATAGCAAAAATACAAACATCTGATGCAGAGCGTTTCACCATCGCAGCCAGTAAAGTCAGATGCAAACCAGACAAAAACACCATCAATGAAAGCAGACTTGTGAGACCAGGAATGGATTATGAATGCACTGTTCAAGGCAGAAAGATACCTTTTTTTTGTCAGTCACTGGTCCACTCCCCCTAAAACGCCAGCAATTTCTCCCAACTCCCAAAGCCATTATGTAGTTATCGTAACCACTGCCATAGAGAATGCTCAGTAATGTTATCATGTAGCAAGCCCGTTCTTCAGTTGCAGCCCATCATATCTTCGTAAAGGTATACTCAATTCTTAATCAAAGGATCACCATATTTCGTCTCTGCCATCCACATTAGTCTCTTGCACTCCCTTTTCCCCTCCCTACAACCTGCTAGGAAACAACTCACTCCCATCCCAATTTTTATCCATCAACCCATCCCAAACCCGATCATAATCCTCCCTAAACTTCTTTGAATTCCACGAGCTACCAGGCGCACCATGATTAACCTTATCCTGACTCTGAGCAGACCTCGATGGCGTAGTATTTGGCGTATCAGTAAAACTGTGGTTGGGGGCGAAGAAGTCGGGTGGGGAATCAGGAGCTTCCATCATGAGATCTATAAGGGGTTCTTGAGGCGAGGTAATTTCGGCGTTGGTGGCAGATACCGCTGATTGTTGGTCTACGAGGGGGTTAATGAGATGTTTGGTTTTGGAGGTGAAGGTTGAAGGTTTGGAGGATAGGGAATGGTTATTTACCTGTTGATTCCTCAGTCGACATTTTGATGCGTATCAGGTGAGGATGTGAGTTATCTATTGGCGAGGAAGTTTAGACGGAATGAGGTTATTTGTTTAGTTCTGTAGTATTATGAGAATAATGTTGAATCTACTCCACAAGCTTGAAGTTTACAATAAGTGAAGCTCTAAACAAACTCCACAGCCCTGTCACACAGCTAAGTCGGCTAGATCTGCGCTATTCCACACTAGCGTTGTGCACCCCCCACCAAGCCAGCATCCCTTGCAGACCCAAAAATTACACCCCTTCCATCATCATCTCTCCACACACTCTTCACAACTTCACAGAAAGACGAATTCCTAAAAAATTAATGAGTAGAAAGATGGCGGTTTCCAATGCTTGGGACGACGACTGGGAATCCCAAGCCGATGCATTGGAATCAGCACCTCCACCAAATGAAGCGGTCGAGGAAGAACCCAGGATTTCTAAGGCTGAACGATTGGCAAAACATGCAGAGACTAATAAGAAGTTATGGGAATCTGCGTTCGTTTTCTTTTATTTACAATTCTCTTTCTATCTATCACTTTGCACCCTATCTAACACACAATTGAACAGCGAAACCCCCGGGGGCCTCTCAGCACAATTTCCCTTCCTCCTTCCACCCAATCTCGCCAAGCCCGTTCCATTAGCCACGCCCTACAAAGCGCCTCTTACGCTTCTCTCCCGTAAACCCGCTCCTAGAACAGTTACCAAAATCGATTCTCGGACTGGCAAAATGACCACAATTGAAGCCGAGGAAGAAGAGGAAGCGATTGTCGCCGGACCAAGTGCCGAGGAACTGCGCGAAAGAGCGCAGCGGGAACGAGAGGAGAAGAAGAGAAAGTATGATGAAGCCAGAGCCAGGATTCTAGGGACGGGTGCCTCGCCAAGAAGCAATTCTGGAAATGGGAGGGGAGGTAGCGGTGGAAATAGTCCAAGGAATGGAACACCGCCTCTGAACGAAAAGGGAAGAGGAAGAAATCGAGGAAGTGAGAATAGAAGAGCAGATAGTAGGCCGGATGATAGGACTGGACAGAAGGAATTATTTGATCCAAACTATACGGCTAAGCCTGGATCAATCTCACTACAGAAGACGTCTAGAAATGGGGAAGGATCACGATCAGGATCGGGCACATCTACACCAACATCACGAGAAAATGAACAGATTATTCGAGCACCAAGAGGGCCTGATGCGACTGGTAAGGGATTTGGATTCGCAAATCGAGGTGGTAAAATGAGTTGATTTTCTGCTCTAGAATTATCAACTACCAACCTCCGCCAATTTTACCGGCGATCTCTATTACCCTTTCGGCATCCCCGACATTTTTGCCGACATCACTAACAACCTCCCGATATGTCGTATACACCAATCTCTCCAGATCCAGGCCTGTTATTGTCGCCCAATGCGACAGGGTATCTTTAATGTATGAAGGAGATATTCCTTCACATAAATCATTGCGGTCATGAACACTCGAGGACTCCACACCATCTTCTCCAGAGAAGTAGGCCTCATCAACTTGAGCCAACCACAGCTTCTGTTCCTGCGGACCGGCTTTGGCATCACCTTCCAGACGACTAGTATTTATTGGATCATCAACCTTGATTTGACCACCTCCATTGGTACATCCGCCTGGACAGGCCATAACTTCGACATATGTATAATCAGGACCAGTAGCCTTGCCGTTCGGTCGCCTAGCACTTCCGATAGGTCTACCACCAGGCATTCGAGATGGTTTTGCTGGTTTTAGTCGTCGGACTAGATTTTGGATATTTCGGAATCCATAATATCGAGCCGCCTTGAGTAATATTTCGCCAGTATCTGCGACAACAGTGTAGTCCACAACATCTGCATTACGGCCTTTGATCGTTTGGACGAATGATCCTTTATGTTGAGATGCAAAATATTGAAGGATATAATAAAGGTTTCCACCGGATGAACCAGCGTCGCGGCCACCATTGCTGCTGCTTCGGCGATTGGCTGGGAAGAGAAAAGAATCTATCTTTGGATCTGGAAATGGTATGCGCGATGATGAAGGCAGTGGAGTCCGAGGTAATTTGGAAAAGTCGATACTTCTGGAATCTGCGAGCATAAGTAGTTCCTTGCTTGTAATAACAGAATCGACATCTCTAACCCCTCGAGTTCCTGTTCCTTCCCAAACCGCGTCAGTTAGTTCTTCTCGACTAGCTTCTAACTTTTTATCGAAACATGGCATAACCGCTACATGCCATATCCTGTCGGGTGAAATGCCAAGTTTTCGACTTAATGTCGTCTTTATAAGAGTTCCCATCAATGCTTGTGGTGACTTCATCCGTGATAAATGTGGTAAAACGTGTGGGTGTGTCTTTTCGGCGTAACAAATCCATCCAGGACATGAAGACGTCAGAATAGGTTTCTTGGGGCCTTCTGTGTCATTCATAGAAGCCATAACTTCCTCAGCCCCAAGAACTAAACATGCCTCTCTCGCAATATTCGTATCCACAACCCACTGAAAAGCATTCCTATAAACCGCCCTGTTCTTAATTCCTTTTGGCCCACTAAGTAGTTGTTCAATCATATAACCTGCTTCTTGTTCGGTAACTCCAAAAGTCGCTGCAACACTCGCTCTCGATTGTGGACTGACACTCGCGACATATATTTTCCCACCTTGTTCGCGGCCCTCCACATTTATACCTGTCCCAGAAGCATTTTTATGTAGGCGAAGACCAGGAGCCGAATCTAATTCTGATAGCACTTCGGCATGCGATTGTAAGGATACGAGGACGGCTTCGGCTGATGTGACACATCCCGAACAGGCAAGACAGTCTGTGAGTGATATTTGGGCAGGAGGTAAATCGGATGGAAGGGGGGCGTCGGTATTGAAGGATATTTCGAGTTCCTAGAGGGTATGTTAGGTTTAGACAGAGGGGGAAAGGATAGTATTATACATACATTATCGCCAGAAGGTTTTGCGACAGGTAATGTTTCAATCGGTTTTATACAAGCGACTCCTGGGGAAATAAAATCGTTCAAATCGTCCGCTGATAGAATAGCGCTCATGATTCTAACGAGAGAGGGGGGGTTGCGAATGCTGAACTGAATGCGATGCTCTTTCTTTCGTTCTGAATTGATCTATTTGTGAATGATGAGATGAGGCCAAGGAATATATGTATATATATTGTCTACGAGTAAATAGTGAATTAGAATGAGTTCTTGTCATAGATTGTAAATCATCATTAACAATCACAATTAAGATAATTCGCTGAATGATTTGATTGCGAGGATCGGAGCACGGAAAATGGATGGATGGGTGGCGTTAACAGGGATAAGATGGATAAATTGTAGATATGCATATATGCCTCATCGTCTCTAATTGTTGCCTTAAACTGGAAGTTATGACGTAATGTTGTGGTTCCTGGCCATAAGATATAGGTAGGGGGATAAGGCTCCTCATAAGAGGTGCTTGTTACTTATTGCTTGTTGCTTGTTATTACTTGTTGCTTGTGGTGTGGTTTGGAATCAATAAAAAAGTATTTTGATATTTACTCGAGTAAGGTTACATGTAACTTATAACTGTACATCAATCAGTAAAATATCTAGGTAATCATTAATCGAGCTCAAGAATAACCCCCACCAAACAAACCTATTCTCTAATTACCACAACTATCATGGATGTATGTGACAAGATATCCCCCCTCGAAACTCGGGACTTGGTTGACTAACTTGCATACTGGTAGGTCTTTTACGCATACACATATGGAACGGCGGGATGGCTGGCACTACAAGCAGTCCCTTTGATTATATCACCCACAATCATCATTACAATGCTTTCACCTGAAGTTAGAGATCCCACCTGTGAGTGTCGCTGTGCTTTCTCTTTGTTTGCATACTATACTAATAGTTACTAGCACTCGAGGAATACTTCTCTAGATCCTTAGGCATAACACTCCTCACGCTAGGTATAATGGTGGTCCTCCTTACCGGATCCGTCCCCCTAACCTCTTCCATATCCGATAGTACGTCTCCCCTTTCCCTTCCCCCTTTCCCCCACTAACCCCCTCCCAGCAACCACCGCCGCCGTAACCACCTCAGACACCGACCCCAAAGCACCCTACGCCGTCCCCGTCCTCACGCTCAGCACCCTCTACCACGGCACCATCGCCTTCTACTGCTACGCGCACTACACGACTCTCGGCACATATTCATTTGCGCTGGGTTCCATTTTCTCGACAACTTTGTTTGCAATCGGAGGCTGGTGTATACTTTTTGGGACGGCGAGTGGGAGGATCAGTCGGAAGACGGGGGCTGATAAGAGGACGAGTGCGTGGCCTTTTGGGAATCAGGAGAGTGCTAGTGCGAGGAAGAGGGCTAATAGGAAAGGGTTGTAAGAGTTTTGATGGGGATGGATTTGAAGGGATGGGGAGGGTAGGTATTGGGTATTGGGACGGAGACAATATTGAGGTTCGGCGAAGATTTCAAAGTGAGTATGCAATGAAATTATGATGGCTTCATAAAAAGTGTCGATCATTCGGTATTATGTGGCTGTACTCGAGTATTCAATGCTTGTCTGACTTATTATTTACAAAATCAAGATAAGATATACTAGGCACATACTGTATATGCCAACCAGTATGAACATCATTGAGAACAACGCATAACGCACGCATCATCTACAGGTAGAAAGTCAAGGAAGAAGATGAAATAGTAAACACAAGCACGGATGATCATCGATCTCCAAATATATATATAGCATATTGGAATTCAACGAGCTATCTCCGTTTCCATTTTGTAATATTCTACACCTGCAATAAAAGTGCTTTCAAGAAAATCATCCTAGCATTAACTACCTAGTATCCTCCCTTGCCAAGGTATTTTGATATTCTGGTAGATGATTAATCTACACGGGGACAGATATTCTGCATTCCCATCCTATATCGCTCCATAAAACGCCATGGTTGTCATAATTCTCATCCAATTGCCCGGATTGATATCAGATTGCTCCGTAGTATTTCATAACCGTTTTACTCCTTCCAGCGGATTCGCCATTTCAATGTCCTTCAAACGTTTGAAAATGCAGAAGCTGACTTGGTATCCTCCGTTTCCCTTCCCTTCCCTTTCCGTTCCCGTCCCACCTATCCCACTCCTTCCTTAAGCTTGTGCCATGGACGCCAAAACCTCCGCCGCATCTGTTTCGACAGGTCCCAAGCTCTGTTCCAATGGTGTCAAATCTCTAGGTGAAAATGGGGTTCCTCCATTTGGAGACATAGCTGTGTTGGGTGTAAACCCAAATCCGCGAGAACTACGTGAATTTGCCCTCTCATCCGTAACAAAAGGTACTTCCCCCTTTGGAAGTTTACGAAGCCCAGCTAACACCTCATTCCTTCTCTGATTCCAATCAAGATCTTTCTCGATAGCCTGATCAAGTAGAACTTCCTTCTCCATCCATTCCTGCATCCTCAGTTCTTCCATCAAATCGCATTGTTTCTTAAGTGCCTCGCCTTGTTTTTCTGCCCACTGTATCTGCTTTCGTAGTAATTTCCAGAGTTCAACTGGCCCTTTTGCTTCCTCCTCCAAAGTAATTCCCAATTCAGGAGGATAGGATGTTGCTAATGAAGAAGGATCGACAATGGGTGAGATTTGTGCTCCTGCGACCGGATTTGAATTTGGATATGGTTTCATGAGGACTTGGGGTCGACTATAACCGGGTCTTGAGATGTCTTGCATGTGTTTTGGAATAGGATCTGAAGGACGAAGAGCTTCGGTTTCGTGGACAGTTCGCATGTGCTTGGCAAGAGCATCGGAACGTGTGAAAGAGCGATCGCATTCTGAGATACCTGTTAGCTTAATCTAGATTCACTTGTGAAGAAACGTACCAGGCAAGGCGCAGTAAAATGGCTTTTCTCCAGTGTGACTTCGCATATGTGCCTTCAAAGCATAACCGCTAGCTTGAGGTTGACTTTTCCTTGGGCAAGCCAACCATTCGCATGTATATTTCTTTGGTCGCGAATCGATATGATCATGATGTAGATGATCCACCAGCTTATCCATATCTCCCAAATCGCCTAAGTTGCATCCAAGCCAGGCGCAAACCGTAACTTGTTCGTGCAAATCATCAAGAGCATCTTCCGGTCGTTGAATGATGCTCGGAGAGTCTGGAATATCTCCCTCAGTATCAGTAGAACAATAACCATCTGTTCCCTCCATTTTGAAATTGCGAGATGTGGGAGCGGTGCGCAAAGATAAAGATTCGTCACAGCTTATCTTTTGCCTTTTTGCGGGTGGCATGAGAGTTTCTGCGGCCATCCGTTCGTTTTCTTCGTCAATCTCGAATGCGTCCGAGGAAAGATCAGAGAGGGGAGATCCTGGAGGCGAGTCGTCGATCATGTTGAAGAAGTCAAAGATACCAATGATATAGAATAATTGTAATTGCTGCAGGTACGCTAAAGGTGATATCTCTAAAGGCGAAGAGTGATGGTGAAGATGAAAGGTGAAAAGGTGAAAGGTTGATTATCTCAAATTCAACTTTCCGAATGTGAGGTTTGATTATATCAAGCAAGGTTATCGGTCGCGACTCGCGAAACGTGACATAGCCTTAGATCTTTCGGAATTTTCCGCTAGCTTGAAATATTGCTATGTCCAACTTCTTTCAGTTGGCGAACAATTTTCTATTCCATCTCCATGAAAATATTTTATTTATGTCAATGTCATCCATTACTTCAATCACTCAATCTTAGTCTCTACTCGGCGAAATGCTAAAAGATGCATAGGCAATTCATGTCACATCAACTTTCACAAGGGCGATACTCTTGATTTTCAAGAGAATGCTCCAGTATTGTTAGTGTTACAGGTAAGCTCACAATTCATTACTTCAAGTTCCTCCTTTTCATTCCAGCGACGATGAGTAACCTTCTCGGGTTCTGCAATTCGGACTAGCAGGCAACTGCACCATGTCGAAATAACTATACATTACAAATTTTTCTGAGCTCCTTTTATATCAACTACATAATTGTTACAGTACTTCCATAATATAATCTTGTTACATGATTGCTAACTCCTCTGTTTTGATCAAGGTCTCTAACCTTCCAGCACACTCTGTAGATGCTCCGCATAGCGATGACCCGAGACCGGAAACTGCTTCAAAATTGAATCCAGTTCTGACAAATCACCAGCACTTAGAGATACTTCCTTTGCATTCTCCAAGATGCGGTCGACTTTAGTAGCGCCAGGGATTGGGATGATTTCTGGGTTTCCATCCTTCTTGGAAATGGCTTTGGTCCAATTTATCGCGATTTGAGCCAATGTGCAACCCTTTTCCTCCGCAAGCTTTGTTACGGCATTCACAAGTTTCTTGTTGTTTTCGAAGTGTTCTTCTTGGAACCTGGGAAAGTCTGCACGGTGGTCATCATTGGGAATGTCTTCTGGCTTTTGAATTGCTCCAGTCAATAATCCTTGTCCCAACGGTGAGTATCTGTTGTCCATTAGTCATGTCCCCTTCAATCCATAGAAATAATAATGCATACGCAACGACCAAAATATCATGTTCCGCACAAGCTTTCGCGACTCCGTTGTGAAAGATATCCGTAGTGGTCAAAGATAGTTCAACTTCACAAGCCACAATATTCGTAACCTTCGCAGCCCTATGAACCGTAGCCGCCGAACACTCGCTGAGCGAAATCCCCCCAATCTTCCCCGTCTTGACATATTCCTCCTCCAAAACATTCATTGTAGTCTCAATCGGCGTTGTCTGATCCACCCTCGCACACTCAAAGATATCAATCTTCTTCTTTCCCCCCAACAATTGCAAACATGTATCCACACTCTTCCTCACTCCCTCCGGACTTCCATCCGGCACAAATTTCTCCAAATCAATTCCACCTTTGATACTCAAGACAATCTTTTCCGCATCCTCGGGATACTTTGTGAAATATGCTTTGCAGATAGTAAGGGAATTGTATTCAGGGGTTCCGTAGAATTGGCCGCCGTTCCAAAAGTTACAGCCGGATTCGAGGGCGGCTTTTAGAGTTGTGAGGGTTTCGTCGAGGGGTTGGGGTTGTGGGCGCCAGGAGAGGCCTGGGGGGAGGGAGAGAGGGGGTTAGTTGGGTGTATGGAGAGATAGGATGGGGATGGGGATGGAGGGGATAGAAATGAGATTGGATGTAGAGGGGAGGGAAGGAGAGGAAAGAACAAACCCATCATGCCATAGCCGGTGGTACCGATATCTTTTCCTAGTAATTGGACCATTTTGTCTGGTTCCTTGTCTTGTCTTGCTGTATATGAAGATGTAGATGTAGATTTTGCGTGGGGGTAATTATATCTTGAAGGTACTAGAGTATTATATATTATATTTGAGATGTTTGAAAATTAATCGAGGGGTAGAGGGGAGCTATAACAGAGGTTGGACAAGAACTAGTGGGGTGAAAACAAGGACACAAAGAGTCTTTAAATATACATATCTTGTCGAGCTTTCACCTACCTACCTGTACCTACCTCATCATCATTCTTAGAGCTTCATTTTGTCAATGGATGGATGGAATAGAGCTTCCCCGAGGAAAATCCGATTCCAACTTTCGATGATACCCAGGAGGTAGGTAGGTATGCGCCTCCTCCTGAAAATTTTGCCGAGTTCGGAATTAAGAATTCTGTGGCTAAAAGTCCATGGAGCGGGGTAGTTGGAAATATCTGACTAAGTATACACGCACTAGCTCCGATTACCGTGTAAAATCCGGTTTACAATTGATTTGATCGATAGATATGATATGATATGATATGATATTGAAAGATCTTACAGTCTTACTTTACGGAGGTAAGATGAATTTTTGAGGATATTTCCGATGCTATTCATTGCAGATAACTTGATATGTATGAAATGGAGTGGTAGTTGAGGAGATAAATTGGGAGAGATGGTTAAAGCCGTGTTCTGTGTGCGTGGTATCTTGATATCCTGATTTGTATCAATACTTTTTGGTCGAATACCTAGTAGGCAGTATTCAGCTGATGGATATTCAGTCGAAATCGCAATCCTTAGCTCCAAGAAGTTAATCTGCTTCGAAATTTCCATCAGCATCTCAATCCTTACCTAGTAGCTCTTCCTAGTAATTAGAAAGAAAAGAAAGAGGATGTTCTGACTTTGAGTTGTTAGGCAATACTAATAGAGAAGTGATTATACTCAAATGATTGGTAACTTACATATTTCTAGATATGCAATTAATTATAGATAATAATGCTTTGAGCTTGGAATAGAGACACAGACTATTCGGCTTGTAATTAGTTGTTAGTACTCAAGAGCCTATAATCCGAGAGATGGATCAGAGAAGAAATAGGGTGAGAGGTAAGTGGTAAGTGGTAAGTGGTAAATGCTGAGAGGCAAGTGGTAAGGAATGAAAGGAGAGATATGCAACAAAAATAAAAGAATGCTATTAGACTCTTCAATGCCGATACTGGTACTATGAAGTCTTCAAACCCTCTCAGAGAGTCTTGGAAAATATTTCTCGGGATTTTTCGATACAACACAAAGACAAGTGTCTTCCTAGTTTCCGATTGATTCGAAGTGAAGTAGTAAAGCTAACTGCAAGCTACCCATATAATCCTTGTTCCGATATGCAACAAAAAGGAGATGATTCGGTTAAATGAGTAGTCCACCACTAGTAGTCCACCACTAGTTTTCCGCCATTCCTCACCAACCACATGCTAGCATTAGTGTGGGCTTACAATTGATTTGTACCTGAGTAGTAGTGACTAGTGAGTAAGATGCCAGTTGATCGGCAAGGAGTCTTTAGCGGATATTTACCTGCAGATCTAATTTGTGTGTGCACAGATTGTAGTCTCATTACGCATATCATGTTGCTACTTTATCAACGAAGTGGTTAAATCTGCTGAAATTATACTCGAGTATATATATGCAGTGATTCTATCGTTATTTGTTGTCGATATATTTGATTCTTGTCATCAAAGCTTCTGAAACCTTGGCTCTAATTATAAGGCTTAGGTCATCTCACTACATTACCACAAGTGAATTCAAAGGTGCGTCTTCGTATTGACTTATTTTGAGACCAGTCTTTTCCTTATGATATGTATTCTCCAAATTGGTTCTGTGAACTTACAAAACACTTTGATCGTTCCTGGAGAGTTATTTATGCGAAATGATTGTATTGATCTACTGCAAACGTGGGGGATTCTTGTTAGCTTTTTATCTTGCTCAAGGCGTGATCGGTAGAGAGAGAAAGTGAACGGAGGTAAATTTGAGAGAGTGTATAAGGGGCTATAAGAGTATTGGGGCTGCAAGGAATAACTGTAGACACCGGTTGAAACCGATTGTACATTACGCATTATAGAGTTAGAATGTATTTCTGTGCTGAACACAAATCTATCTTTGCATCGGTAAGTACTAAGTTGTATAGTGAAGTGCATAGTGAGCGAAGAAATATATGCGAGCTATTGTTGTCTCTTTGGTCTTTTGCCATCTATGTCTACTGATACAATATATGCGACAGAGTAAGCTTTATTAACGACAGAAATAAACTTGAGCTCGAAAAACTTTTCTCCTTTCTGATTCATTCCCAGTTCTGGTAACACACATTTCGCTTGGCAAAGCACTGTGATATACTGCGTGGATAGAAGCTACATCTCGATGGTGAAATAGTAAAAGGCAGTCTGAATAGTTCGGATCATGAAGGCTCATTCCTATAGCCCTCGACTTATCTATCCTACGGAGATAGTCGTTGCATGTGAGCTGTACTTGGTCCTGCTTGCTTCTGCTTGATATCTATCAACCAACGTATCGATGGAATCACGAAAGAACTTCAGAAAGCGATTAGCCGAGACTAGAAATTGAGATGAAAGTTTGGGTTTGGTCTAGTAAGCGAGATATTGAGTCTGCAAGTATAAATTCATCATATTCATTGATATCTTCAACCTCTTTTGACCAAAAAGTCCTTCTGGTTTGATTCCACTTGAGGTTGGATTTCTACTCGACAATTTCTGAGGATCATTTGGAGGCGAACTTCCTAGACCAAGTAAAGGTACTCGAGTAGGGCAGGATCACATATATTCACTTCCATCAAGAACCCAAATCTGCAAGATCGATACAACTTATATTCCTGATAGTATGAGTACTGTTTTGCTTTTGCTGTCCCTAAACCCTCTCATTAATGAACAATTCTCCTTCAATAAGAAGCTGATCGCTATTTCGCTTTATTGAATCTATATCGATACTACTATATAGACTCATACATTGCACTTTTCTGCATTTGCTCGGTGCTTATTGTATTTTGGTACTCAAATACTAGTGGATGTGGTTTATATACGTCTGAAGAAATATTGGATTTTGTAATTCAGTGTTATTTCATCCGCCTCACTACACAACCTTGAATGTACTATGATAGGAAAACAATAATATACGATTAGTTCCACAATCTTTCTCTCCTAGTGGTTCAGAATATGCCACGGGCACTGTAATTTTTCTAGAGCTCCACTGTTCTGTATTGGGGCAGTTCAATTGCGTTACTACGTTAGGTAGATGTGAAGTGGGAATGTAGTGAATGCGAAGGCATTGGCCTATTTAAGCCTCTAAATAAGATAATATGCTCGAGGTGTTGACTACGTGATAATCAAATCAATCAAGCACATACACAGAAAAAATGCTGCCAGTCTACTGAATATGGTCTGCGCTTAATGTTGTTATTAATGTTCTTCGTATACACTATAGCAAATATTGTCTCTGCTAACACGGATGACAATAAAGAAACATGAGTCTGGCAAGACAACAAATAGCAACTGCCGTCGTTTCGCTTCAACTAACAATGGTTAACATGATAGCATGATAGTACGTACCATAACAAATGGAAACTTCAAGTAAATTGCACAGAACACATATGCTGTATCTCAAGTCAACGTTATGGTATGTGCAGGCAGCAGAAAAAATATCTAGTACTTTCTGCCACGAGCTCTGCGCCCTCCTGACCTGGATGAGCAATAGTTCAGTATATTCATACATTTCAATGGGTTCTATAGCTGCGATGTATTCATATAAACTTTGGTTCACATATACAGAGTTCGAACAGCAAGACCGAGAGGAGACTGGGCAAATTGATCTCTGTATGGAAGATAAAGTCATTGCTAGAAACTTCAGCACGTTTCAATTACCAACTGACATTAACATGTTTGGGCTTTTGTTCATGAGTTACACTACACTCTGTATGTATGAATTATCTCCGCAGTATATGTTTCTCGATCTTCTATGAAAGCCACTGGGTTGACATACACTTGGAGCTACACATACGAAGTAGAATAATCCACTAATGTCTGCATATAAATGGGCGAGGCCTACAAGCATAGTTGGATGACGTACATAATAAGTCAGCTATTGTATGCAGAGACTTTTCTTTTTGAAGGTGCTAGGTGCTGTCCAAGTCGTAAAGTTACTTGTGATGATACTGGTTTGGAGACGGCAACAATTAGTATCAAATGACAATAGCAATGTAGAGCAAGACTCTCAGGAGTTAGGGCTCCGTGTCAGGCTTTTCCATCCCGATTTCGAGGGCTTGCACTATGGACTTTTTGTTAAACAGAGATTCAAAGGACAAAGATTGACACCTATGCTGGGAACATCGCCCGATGAAGCGAAGATTGTTAATACAGGCGTGTCTTCCACTGTGTCTCCAATATAAGTGATCATAAGCGGAGCTCAAAAGATGAGAGGTGCTTGTGATTGAGTGAATATTATCTCTACTATATCATAAACCTTGATATTCGCTATATCTCAGAGTGCAACATCGAGACCGGGACGCATAAAATTGGTAGTAACCCTTTATAAAAGAGGGCTGTAGACAATATGAAAAGAACCAAGACGTATAAAGCAATCCTCTCGTTATTTTTATGCCTCCGACGTAGGTAGTTCACCACTAGCTATCAATCATAAGGATCATGCTTGAGCTCAAATACGCAAGGGTCAGGACTGTCTTCCTTTTAGTCATGGGACTGTATATAACGACAAATGGAATAAAGGAATGGATAATAAGAAAGAAATACTCAGATATCACCGGCCTCCTTTCAGTGTTGGAAATCTTTTCGGAGGTTGATGTCGAATTGATCTGAGCTTTTGTTATGAATGGGAGTATGTAGGTAAATATCTCATCTTATTGAATATCCTCTTATATCTAAAGACATCGAATTGTCATCTGGAAGTGTAGTTGAGTTAAAACTCAAGACACGACGAAATTAGATGAGATGAGGTGATGAAGGAAAGATATGACAGCATGTAAAACATTATGGTAATAGATTCTCTAGGCGTTGTTATTTGATAGATCGAATGATCTCACCAACGCATGCTCAATGCAATGCTAAATTGATCAAAATTCTAAAATTCTCAATTATCACCACATCACAAAATAGTTTCCCACTAAGGATGCCGAAAACAGTATCATTCTCTACATATCATATGGCTCAATTCGGATGTTGAAAACTTCACCCCAAGATAGCTCTTCTAGAAGCCTTTAGAATTCTCTCCTCCCCCCTCATATCAACATTCCTCAAACATCAACCAGCTTCTCCTTTTCCCCACCAGAACCTTCCCTCTTACCCCCTTTCTCGCCCCCCTTGTCTTTTATCTCCACCTTCCCCTCATCCTCACTAATATCCTCACTCTCATCTTCCCACTTTCTCGTTCCCTCCAAATCACCCCTGTTAATCTTTCCCGTAACATCCTTTTCCCTTATTTTCTCCCCTCTAATCCTCCCCCTCTCCTTCTTCGTCTCTGCTTTTCTGATATCAAGTTTTTCCTCCCTTTCTCTCTCCTTAAGCTTCTCCTTCTCCTTCTCCCTAGTTTTCTTCTCATCTCTCATCTTGCCCTCCCCTTTCTTCTCATCCCTTTCCCTACCCTTCAACGCAACTACCCCCTTAACCCTAAGTAACTTCTCCATTTTCCTCAATCTCTCCATTACCGTCTCACCCTCCGATACTCCCATTCCAATTCCCACACCCATCGCCCGCTCCTTATCTCTCCCCACACCACCTCTCTCCCCCCTCTCCCTCTCCTTCCTCTCCATTCCACCCCCCACATCTACACCTCCCTCCCCACTCTTCAACCTCTCAGCCCCCCTACCGACACCAAACGCCGGGAAAAATCCCAAATTTTCCGCCTTAAACCAACCTGGCCAATCACTCAACCCAATCAACCTTAATTCAAATCTTGTTCTGGGCATTTCATGTTTATACCGACAATGCTCACCCCATTTACATCTGCGATTATGTGTACACCAGTGTCTGCACGTCTGTTGTGTCTGTTGTGCTTGCTGTATTCCTAACGTCCCGGTAGATGAATTTTGGTTTATGCGAGGACTAGGAAGCGAAGAAGCAGGAGCCCAGATTGAAGATGCGAGACCGGGCAAGGATTTTGATTGCGATTGTGATTTTGGGGATTGGGATTTATTGTGTGCGCTCGCGGGTGTAGTTAATGTTGAGGATCGGACGGGTAGGAGAAGAGGACTGGAGACCGCCGTGTTGGATCTAGATTCTCAATTCATTAGCATATTTCATTACTTCACACTACACCTTCGTGTCCACGGCAGCACACTTAAAACCCAAAAAGTTGATACTTACCCACTACTCCCCGCAATTCCATCTCCATTCCCACTAGCCTCCCCCTCATCATCATCCTCCTCCAACCCAACCAATCTATAAAACCCCCCTCCACTAGGACATACATCACCCTGCAACCCCAAATTCAACATCCCCCCCGTCTCCACCAAATCCAGACACCTCGGGACCCCCACCAAATCCACGCCTAGCGGTAACTCATCAACCGCCACTAGTGGCACCACCTCACCCGACTTGCGAACGATAAAGTATCCTAGCCGAGGACCTTGAGCTGGCATTTCTCGAGCCGAGACTGATGAATCTCGAGCGGAAGCATCCTTTTTGTTGTGTTTGGTAGACATACTTTTCAACTTGCTATGTATGATCTTTTATTCAAAGAATGTTCGTATGGTTGGTTAATGTATGATCTATCATGTATGATGTGTGGTGGGTAGCACGGAGAAGGAAGATTCAAGGGGCGGCAGAGTTGGATATATAATGCCTGGAAAATACGACTTCGCATATGACGATTGCCAATCGCCCCTGGTCACTCATAAGTGCTTGTCTAGATTGCCTCGTGAAGGCTTCCATCGTACAATCGATTGTAAAAACACGGGATATTCTCCTTCCGTACCATTCGAACAAAGTTTGTTTGATAGCAATGCCCAAACTCGTTTTGCTTGTACACACACATATGCAGAAATAAAATACCCGAAATATGTAACAGGAATCTGCAAACAAAATTTGCAATGTAAGGGAAGAATAACATTATACTAGTTGATGTTAAGTCTACTTCAGCTTGGAAAGTTTGCTCTGCTTTTACTCTCTGTTTGTGTTGCTCCACGCCATCGGGTATCAAATACATGCCGAGATATACTCATGTCGTTGCAGTCTCTCCCTATCCCTCTCCATCCTCAAGCTTTGAATTCTACTCTAACCCTAGCCTCCATCTCATCCACCCTGAAACCTACGTCTTTCGCAGTATCCTCCAACTCTACTTCTCTTTTCATGAATTTGCCTGCCATGATCTTCTCCGGTTGTTCGTGAGTTTGTGCATCAACTGTCTTCATGTCCATACCGGAATCGATGCCTTCGGGTTCTTCTTCAAGAAGTTTCGCATGAGCCAAAGCTTCTCCCATCTGGCCTATAACTTCAACTTCATCTTCATCTTCATCACTACTATCCTCACCAACATCATCGTATCCTGCCACTGGATCCCATTCTCCCGTTTCCCAAATGAGTTTCAAACTCATTGGTCTACAACCCAGAAGTCTCCCCACAATACCCTTAACCCGGTAAACATCAAACGTCTTAGGAATCTCTTTCACTATTGTCATTTCCTGTTGATTAGTCTCCGGTCTTGCGGGAACGTAGAATGTGAATTTTATCAAACGTGCTTCTAAGAAAGCTGGATTAATCCCCGCTTCTTCTTTCCTCACCACTACCGGAAGACCATGAAGGCCACACAACTCCTCGTATCGTTTGTGTCTGGAAAGTACTGTAGATTCTTGGTCGAGTTCTACAGCTCCAAGTTCGTTGCCGATTTTCGAGAGGTAGAATAATTCTGCATTATTTCGATCCTGGGGGGTAATGCTGCTATAGTTCAATTTTTTAAGATTCCCAAGACGTGCCAAAGTCAACATAAATGCCTCGTCGAGACTTCCCATTGTGGCGTCACTACTTGTTTCTGGATAAAGTGGATTTTTGGATAGTCGTAAAGATGTCATGCCAGGAAAGATGTCAGCAAGTTCATCAACAAAATCCCAATTGTCGACGCAGTTGTCACATAGATCGATGTATGATAACTTCTTGTTGAAGACTAATGGAGTGAATGTTTTGACAGCACCTGGCCCTGTTATTGTTCCTGTTGTAATTATCTTGTTTCCTTTGAGAAGTAACGATTCGAGGGCTGTGAGTCGAGTTAGTACCTCTAAATCCGTCAATGATTGAAATTCGTTCCTCTCAAGTGTTAAAGAGGTGACAGAAAGGCAGGGGAAAGGCATATTCATTTTCCCGAAGCCATTTGATGATGCCGTCAGAGATGTTGTAGAGCAGAACCTTAGCATGAGTAGGCAAAGATCACCCCAATCGATACCCGCTTCGTCCATTTCAAGAGTCTGAATCTTGTCGAAAATTTGTTCAACGGATCCCAGAAACATAGCGTCTATGCTTTTCTTTACAGCAGACGCTAATCGATTTCCGCTACAACAATCATATCAGTTATGCCTCTTCAAAATTGTGGAAGTCCTTACTTTAGTCTCAGAATTTTCAAGTTTGGCAACTGCTCACAGATCCTTTCTACCTCATCCAAACCTTCTAAAAGATTCCTACTCAAATCCAGCTGAACGATACCGGGACATGCTTCCCTGGCAGTAAGATAAACCACTGGCGTAGCCGTGGCCTCCATTGTGTCAAGTTTAGTATGAGCCCTATTGATGCGCTGTCCGTCAACCAAAACAACTTTCAGTTCATGTACCCGAGCCTGTTGCTCAGCAATTTTATCAAATCCAACTTCCTCTGCAACCTTCCCAGATATCACAGTTTGTTTGTGCGGGTTTATGCCATCTCCAGGGGCGTATTTACTGAACACCGCTTCGACAAAGCTCTGCTCGGGATCTGCTTTTCTGGTAGGACGTACGAAGCTTGCTGGAGTTGGTGCCTTGCTCAAACCTGTAAATGTAAGAAGGTGCTCCCGAGAATACCTCTCATATCAGGAAACTTACATTCAAAGTACCCTTTCCCATCATTCTTACCCCGCGAAGGGTCGTCCCATTCAACCCCAAGCCATTCCTTCTCTGTATCCTTGACCTCTCCAATATATCTAATCGTGCATAATTGCCCCTGAAACGACACTCGTTGACCTACACGGTAGTTGTGATTATGTGCCATTGTAAAAGAAGTTCAATTTGTCGTTTGTGCTCATTGGGAAATAAGTTGCAGCCTTGCGCAGAAAGAGGCTGAATCACAGCCGAACTTTTTTTTCGCGACATCAATATCAACTTCCCCATCACAACACCTCTACACCGGACCTTCCTGCTTCCATCACAATTATCCAAATTGACATTGGTTCGGATATCGTGTTCACTGATCTTGGTCCTTAAAACTATCAATTCAACGTTACGATACAAATTACTAGCACTTATCAATCGTAAAAACCACCAACCCTGAAATCTACCCTCACCACCCTCCTCACTACCTCCCCAAGATGGACTACCAAAACCGCGCTGGCAGCAAATTCGGCGGTGGCGGCGTTGCTTCGACCAGCGCAACTAACGCCGACCGTCGCGAGCGTCTCCGCAAACTCGCTCTCGAAACCATCGACCTAGACAAAGATCCCTACTTCTTCAAAAACCACGTCGGATCATTCGAATGTCGCCTCTGTCTCACCGTACACCAAAACGATGGTTCCTACCTCGCGCACACGCAAGGTCGCAAGCATCAAACCAATCTCGCGCGACGTGCCGCTCGAGAGCAAAAAGAAGGACGGGCGGGAACCGATCCCATCACCGGGTTGCCCGTCGGCATGGTAGGAGCCCAAGTCAGCGTGCGCAAAAACATGGTGAAGATTGGACGGCCAGGGTACAAGATTACGAAGACGCGGGATCCGGTTACGAGACAGCAGGGCTTGTTATTTCAGTTACAGTATCCGGAGATAGTATCGGATGTGCAGCCGCGGATTCGGTTCATGAGTGCGTATGAGCAGAAGGTGGAGGACCCGGACAAGGACTTTCAGTATATGTTGGTAGCGGCGGAGCCATATGAGACGTGTGGGTTTAAGTTGCAGGCGAGGGAGATTGATCGCTCAAATGATCGGTATTGGACTTGGTGGGATTCGGATTTGAAGGAGTTTTGGGTGCAGATTATGTTCAAGACGGAGAGAGAGGAGAGATATAGTGGCGTGCCGGGGCTGGCTTCCAGTCAGATGAAATGAGAGGGTAATAACGGATGGAGTTAAAAGGCGTTTGTTATGGCTAAGCTGTACTATAATATGAGATCACGGGAATATCACCAAGCACAATACAATTAAGCAGATGATATCCTTGATTGAATATGTAGAAATTTCCCGAGGTATACCTAAGTACATCCTTTTCTACCTAATGTTTCCCACCGTGATCACGTTTAAATTTCTTCCCATCCTTAAAACCCACCCATATGCCAGAAGTCTAGAACTAGGCTGATTCGCTCATGTGTGCATCCAGTCCAAACAAAAACAAGAAAAAACAGACCGCTAGATGTAAGATGTCTAATTGTAATCTTGCAGAACATGGAATCAGTGGTATCTGGCTAGATTGACTTTTTAAACGTCATGTAATAACAACTAGGCAATAGAAGTACTTCACTCCAGGTGAAATTTGGATCAACTATCATTTATCCATAAAATTGACCCATATGATAGATGTAAAGCTGCATGACTGACTGATTCAATCAGGTAGTCGAGAGGGGCACTACAATCATCTGTAGTTGGACTCAAATCTCTTGAATGTGTAACCAATGAATGGCAAACTCATCTCTGGCACTTCCTCCCGAGGCGCACCACTGATAGCAGCTGCAGCTTGAGCTTGTTTCAGATGAGTTGCGTTATCGGTTTGATCAATCTCGTCAGTCGGGAAATATGTGGTATCAACATTGGAAGCCAGCTTGGGCTCGAATGGAGCACGAATACGTCGTAAGGTATCAAATTCGACACCACGGAAGAACTTGTGGTTCTTAATTTCATCCGCAGATACTCGTCCAAGTCGGTTCTCTGAATTACAAACAAGACTAGTGCGCAAAATGTTAGATAATTGACATAAAGAATTAGTTGTTGAGATTCATACCTTCGAATAAGATTTTCGGCTTCCGGTCCAAGTTGAACTTCCTCGGGAAAGTAAAGATTTTGACGCCAGGCGACGATTTTTCGATATGTATCATGGGCATCTTCAGCACAAAAAGGGGGCCATCCGACTTGACATTCGAACATAATCGTGCCAAGACTCCACCAATCACAATCATAAGAATAGCCATGGCCACTAAAGATTTCCGGAGCGATATAATCAGGTGTACCAACGGTTGAATAAGCCATGACCCTTCGAGACTTTCTCCAGTCATTGATAACACTTCGATTACTAACTGTGAGATTGATCTCGTCAAGGTTGACTGATTGCCTGTTGTTTTTTGGCTTATTTGACTTTCCTGTCAACAATTGCTGATAATAGGAGTTGTCATGTAGTTTATGAAAACCAGTAGAGAGACCAAAATCAGTCAATTTAACATGTCCACCTCGGTCAAGTAAAATATTATCAGGTTTGATATCACTATATCAATCAGCATCCTCAATTCAAGAATTGTAAAGGAGAGGAGGGGGGGGCAATCCCCTCCTATCTTCAGTCAACTTACCGGTGAATGAAACCAAGCTTATGTACAGCTTCAATAGCCAACACAATTTCTGCAATATAAAATCTTGTAATATCTTCAGAAAAGATCTCATATTTGATGAGCATAGTCATCAAATCTCCTCCTGGCAAAAACTCCATCAACATGTAGAGAAAATCTTGATCTTGGAAGGTTGTGAAGAGCTTAACAACCCAGGGACTGTCGGACTCGGCCAAGATATCTCTCTCAGCACGAACATGTGCCAATTGATCCTTCTTGAACATCTCAGTCTTGATCAAAGATTTCATAGCATAAACTTTGCCATCTTGCTTCTTTTGCACCAACTTGACTTCTCCGAAAGCTCCCTTTCCAATAATCTTCAGTGTGCTGTAGTTGTCCGGTCGGTCTCTGGTGCGTAAAAATCGTAGATATTTGCCCTCTTGCTTGCCCGCGTTTGACCAAGTTTGTTCTCGTCGTGATTGGGATTGGTTGGGATCGGATAGTCGTTGCTCCATTTCACTTTGTCTGTTGTGGAAATCACTTAGTACATTTATCAATGTCAAACCCTTTCAAAAGCTCTCACCTGACATTTCGATCTCTGGCCCTCTTAACACTGTCTTTGAAGAAGTCTGCAGCCAATTGTGAACACTTCTTCTGGTTGTTTTGTGTCAGGTTACCATATCGATCTGGATTTCGCTCCGGAGCTGGCTGAAACTCTGGCCGATTTTGCTGTGAAGCCTGCGTCGGCATAGGATTTAGGTAGCTCGAGTAACCTTGCTGCTGGCTTGGTGCTCCAGCTGTCCTTGGTCTTTGACTTTGACCTGGAGATACTTGACGATTACCATACGGTGATCCTCTGCCCCCACCCAGGTTTTGGTGAGAGAACTGATGAGCCAGCCCATTTGTAGAATCGGTTTGTAAATTAACAGATCTTTGTTGGTAAGGTTGCTGTTGCGGTTGTTGCTGTTGATATCCACCAGGAACCTGTTGTTGAGGGTAGCCCGAGGGGGGGTATGGATTATTCATGAAGTATCCTGCAGATGGTGTAAATCCCTGATTGTATGATTGCTGAGAGCCTTGTTGAGCCTGCTGTTGCTGTGGTTGCTGCTGTGGTTGCTGTGGCTGCTGAGCTTGTCCTTGTCCTCCACCCGGAAATATTGGATTTGGGAATGTTGATGGGGTCGTTGGGTATGCACGATCGTTTGGAGCGAATCTGTCGTTGCCGAAATTCAAGTGAAGACGGTTGTTCGTCGGATTTCCATTGGGATTATTATTACCAGCATTACTACCATTGGGATCCATCTTAATTGTATGGATGTTCGATCCAATAGACCAATTTGCCGAAACAAAGTAGTGTTGTCTTGATCCTAGAGATCAAGAGATCAAGATATAAAGTGTAAGGAAGTTGTGTTTGCTAATTATCGTACTGTAGTTCCGTGCCGCTGCTCGTGCGTTGTTTTCGTTGATGGGATTCACTTTTGCCTTTTTCCCTCTATTATTTGGTGTATCAAATGTGTTTCTCTTCAGAGGTTCTCTTTAAAATCTGAAGTATTGTTTGAAAAAACTATGGCTATGTATTCAAACAAAAACCCAAATAAGTTCTTCCAGATTTTATAAAGGGGAATTCCCAGGCTTTTTCGCACTTTGCTGATTTCTTGCTTCTTCCCCGACCGAATTAAAGGGATGAAGTCGTTTGACTCTGGCTATGGCTGTTCTGTTGGTGTAATATACGTACTTACTGTATAACTTTTCGTAGCGAAGGCTTGGTGCTAGCATTTTGGCGTTTTGGATCAAAAAAACAACTACCTAGGTGATCTCCAATTGGTTAACCGGATCAATACTAACTACAAAGGGAACAACTCCTTTTTGATCCATCAAGGGGGGAAGAGAAGGAGAAATATATTACATCCTATTTATTACCCATACCGGTGTAGTCGTACCGCTACTTCGATTTACAAGCTGAAGGAACTTGTGAGCTCTAGGAAAAGTTTGAAGTCACCAGCTTTGCAAGCTTTTACATAGTATTCTCTCGAGTTCTACAACCTACAACGTCAAATTCGAGGGGTTCGTAAAGACATATCGGATGATAGCCTCTATATTGAAAAGCACACTCGTTAAAAAGGGGTATTCCATGCGGCGTTTATGCATCCCCTAGTGGAAGGTGTTTTTGCCATGCATCTTCCCTGAAAGGCCCAGAAGAAGAAGCCAAATTCCTCAACACGTCTAGGAATGCTAGTTACAATAAATACACTGACATCTACATATCGAGTTGCAAGACTAACGGCCAAATACCTAGTATAGTAGATACAGTACCTACTGTATTACAAATTTACAATCCGAGTAAGCAGCCCTGACTAGCTCGGCTTACTCTTTTACCTACTAGGTATAGTACGCATGCTTACATTGAAGGAACAGGGGTCTTTTCATCGGATCCCTTTCAGCCTCCATTCATTCTAGCAAAAGTTCACGCATCAATGGGTATTAACTTCCATGTGGGAAGTTAAGATGATAGATCAGCTTTCTATAGCGCACATGAAAGCCAATGGTTACTATAAACTACACGTTGCCGTAGGTAATTAGGACGAAAATGGTGCCTGTGTGAATGAAAACATGTTACAATTGGAGTTTGGATGTTTGAGTGATAGATACTAGGTACTGTATTTATTCCCAGTGATACTTCATCATCGATCCTCATCATCGTCAAGTACGATTTCCAATAACTTAGGATCCCTCGCCCAATCTATACCACTACCTACTATCACAGCACTAGCAGTATTCTTCATGATCCTCCATCTCTGTTTACTATTCTTCATCTCCCCCTCTAACACATCTAATTGTGCGCGAACTCCAGGATCTTGAATGTTCTCTTTCCCCTGACTATTCGTCTCTTCTGCCAGAGTCAGCATTTCCGTAGCTAGCTCAATGTTCTTCCTCCCCGTAATAATGTTCTCACTGGACTCTTTCATGAACTCTTTCCTAGATGATTGGAGCTTATTAGATATTTGAGCCAGATTTTCGGAAACAGCATCCCGTTTCTCGATGAGTGGTAAGAGGTCCCTGTGATTTTGTTAATAATGCGGGAAATAGTGTGGGGTGGTGCAACTTACTGTTCTATGATCAAGGCATTACTACCCGCATGCACTGCTTTCAATATAGGATTGGCGATGAGCACATTTTCAATTATTTTCGTCCGTAACGAGCAATTGGCTTTTGCCTCTAGAAGGTCTTTCTCTGCCTTTTGAATATCTTCATCGGTAACTTTTTCTAGTTGCTCTGAGAACTGTCAAAACACGTGCTGTGAAGAGCTGTATATAGTAATATACCTCTTGAAGAAATGACACCTTGAGCTTGTAACAGAGCGATTTCAACCTGGAGTTCTTCCAATTTGTCATACACTTCCAAAATGCGTTTCTCTTGCTCACTCAAGAAAGGTGTATCGTTGGCTGGTCCGGTCATTTCAACCCCTTCCATACTCTCAACATTTGTTTGACGCGACATCTTGACCTGTGAGCCTGCCTCTTTCTTAGTCACTCAATATAATTGTTGTCCGAGGAAAACGCGTCTCTCTAAGGGAAACGCGTAAGTTACTAACAGCTGTCAGCCACATTTACTGTAGTGTGGCTTGCCGAGACAAGGCGGAAACCTAAAGCTCAAGCTACGGTCAAGAACTAGCCTTGTGATCTTTGCATTCTAATCGTCATGCGACAAGACATCTCTTAATTCTTCTCAAAAAAAATTCATTTAGGAGGAAGAATTATCTGGCAAGCCGCTGGAACTGTGAAATGCATAAACGGATATGGAACTTCACGTATACATTGCCCATACGGGCCAACATCTTCAGGTAGACCCTGGATCCTTTACCTCGTAAGTCTGCTATGCCATGCCATGACTACCTCAATCATAAACGCTGATAAGTCTTCAAGTTTGGACAATTTCAAGTCATGGGTAGCAAAACATACGCCTATTGCTGCCAGCGATCACATATCTCTCACTGCAGCAGCCAAGGCAGTGCGATTTCAAGTGCTATCCTCAGAGGTATTGATGATGACATTACGAGACCCTATATTTGCTAATTCAATTTAGAAAGAGATATTCGTTTATGATCGACGCATCATCCAGCAATCTTCTATTTCATCTGCGAAATCATTGATCTTCGAAATTCCTTTACCGCCCAAGTACACCGTCTCTCAGCCTCCTGATTCAATTACAAATGAGAAGAACCTACAAGCATGGAAGGACTTATTCGCCGAAAGACGGTCATGGGCTATGAAAGTAGTAGACGATTGTGCTGCCATGTCGGATCAGGCGCAGCAACGATATATCGAAACAGAGGTAATTACTCGGTGTGTGGATACCGCCGTTTCGAACCTGGAGAAGCATGTCCGGACGCTGGATCAAAAGAATGCCGAGATCCAGCACTACGTCGAGGAAATGCAGAAGCTCAACACCACCGGTGCAGATTGGGAGGCGTCAATATCTCGACTAAAGTCACTACCTGCGACTCCAGATGTGATCAAGTTTATCACAGGCCGCGATTTGCCAAGGACGCAGCGCCGGGCCACCTTAGAGGATTTGGTCGACATAGAAGAGATCAAGAGGTCTGGAAAGCTGCTACGGGACGTAGCGACGAATCTTGAGCGAAACAGTGTAGAAGCCGGCCAAGCCGTGGACGAGGTCATGCGAAGAATCGATCATCTAATTGAGAAGGTCGAGAAGAGTCCTGCACGAGCGGCTATTCCGCATGCCCAGGAACCCATATCTTTGATGGAGGATATAGAAGCTATCTCTAGAAAAGTCAATACCGACTGTGAAACCATTTTGGACTGCACCAACACGCCAAAAAATATTTCACAAGCTTCAAAATCAGCTCTTCTTCACACAGAGAAGTTTTTACCGACTCTATGTAAAAGAGCTCTCGAAATGGAGGAAATGATGCAGAACGTTACGAAATTGCGAAACTTTACCGCAGTATCATCTTTAGAGTTCATGTACGACATTGCCAGCTTGACAACAATGCTTGCCGAAGTGAACGGTCGATTTGCCGCCTTGGAATTAGATGGCGATGGGTTTGACGCCTTGCAGTTGATTTCCATGCTAGACACTTTGCCAGTTACGTACGCCTCATTCTTGGCTGAGGCAGTCAGGCGAAGTGAATGGGATGAAAAAGTCAGGTCAGATTCCTCGGCCTTGGCTAACGAAATGGTAAATTTTCAAGAGGAAGAAACTAGGCGACGGCGGAAGTGGCAAAAGAACAACGGGGCTACTCTGTGGGGTGAAAAGTCCGAAAGGCAAGTCATGGCTTTGGAAGTCAACTTGCATGGGGAGGAAGATGATTGGCCTCAAGCATCTCGGCGGGATATAGAAGAGATCTTCGAAATACTCCGAGCTGATGGTTCTCAATCTCCGATTGTGAGCGACATCTCGAAGATCATTTCAGACCTCAATAATCCAACAAGACAGCAGAGTAAGAGGGCAAACGCTTTTAAGGCAGGAAGTATCCATGAAGCTGCTCTTGGCAAAAGTGCCCTTCTGATGCGTGGAGATGATGACCTGTTAAAGAACTTGCAAGATGAGAAATCTAAGATCGAGAACAAGCTTAAGACTGCAGAAAGTCGAGTTCGAAGGCTTGAAGATTTATTGCATCGGCAAACCCAGATTAGCAGAAATTCTGCTGGGAACGGTTTTCAAATTCCCAATAATCCAGGTCCGGATGTTCAGATTGCGACAAACAATCTAGCGTCACCACGTCTCAATGACGATTCTCGTCTGTCCTCGATCTCGTCTCGACGGTTTTCTGCAATTCGAGGAGAAGAGGAAAAAGTGTTCCAGCAGAAACTGCTTTCATTGGAGACAGAATTGATTGCCGAACGTGAACGCACTTCGGGTCTGGAGAAAGAGATTGCTGCGAAGAATATCTCAACGAATGAGTTGAAATCTCAACTTGAAGAGGTGAATTCCATGAAGCAGGATCTTTCGGAAAACTTCAAGGCACAACAGCGGGACTTCTTGGAGGAACGCAAATCTTTGGAGGTTGAAATTAAACGTCTCAAAGCAAGACTGGAAGAGCTTGAGGATGAGATGGATAGATATCTCGGTTCCAGAGAGAACGACAAATCTGATGTCGATGATCGTGTTCGTATCTTGCAAGAAGAACTGGACAAGTTACGAAAAGATACTGCTGCGGAGGCCCAGAAAGCTCAAGGTCAGGTCGACTTCCTAAGAAATGATGCGAAGTTGCAGAGGGAGACCAATGAGACTTTGGAAAGGCAAATGCAAAACCTCAGAGAAGAGAAGAAGGAATTAATGTCCCGCACTATCAAGGCAGAATCAGCCTCTGAGGATCAACTCAAGGCTCTGCAAGATATCCATTTGCAACTATCACCTAAGTTGAGGATGCCACAAGAGTTCACCGCACTGTCGGGATCATTGACTAACAAATCACTGACCTTGGTATCTGAGCTCGAAAATACGAAGCGGGATTACAATGTTGCAAAATCGCAACGAGATGACGCAGAGGCCACAATCTCGGAACTTAGAGCTGAGCTTACGGAATACAAAGAGAAATTTGCTATCGAAGAGAAAGAATCTCAAAACCAGCGCGAAGGACTAGCTTCCGAAAAGGCTAAATTTTCAGCTCTGGAGGTCGAACTTACTGATGAACGCCTTCAATTGAGCTCTCTAAGAATGAAGATGGCAGATGGCGAAACGGGCTCCGAAGCTCTACGTAGTCGTTTGGAAGAAGAGGAACAAAAAGTCACATCATTATCAGAAGATGTCGCTGGGCAGCTATCTCGAATTGGAAGTCTTGAGGAAGAACTGAGATCACATCAAGAGAAGCACCAATTTGCACAAGAAAGATCCGAAAGGTTGAACAATCGTTTTGATTCATGCACTTCACGCGCAAAAGACCTTACACAGCGAGTATATTCACAAAATGATAAACTTGTTCGACTACTTGAGCGATTGAGTTATTCGGTCACCAAGGAGAATGGCTCCATGATCATTCAGAAGTTGCCAAAGCCTGATCGCAGCGTCAATGGAAATGATTCCTCGGATCCGGGCAACAAAATCAGACGAAGCATGTCAGGCTCTACAACAATGAAAGCCATGATCGACAGTGGAGATCTCGACTTACTATACTGGATGCATAACGATGATCCTGAAGCGGAAGCCGAGAAGTATGACGCATATATCAATTCTATCGGCAGCTTTGACGTCGATAACTTTTGTGAAGTCATCGCCAAGCGAGTTAGGGATATGGAGTATACAGCCAAGAAATACTCCAAAGATGCTCGTTCCTACCGGGAGAAGTCTCATAGGGCTCAGAAAGAAGCTCATGAGAAGATCGCTTTCAAGAATTTTAAAGAAGGCGATCTAGCTCTATTTTTACCAACGCGGAATCAATCTACTGGAGCATGGGCCGCGTTTAACGTTGGCGCCCCTCACTACTTCCTCCGAGAACAAGACTCCCATAAATTACGCTCCCGCGACTGGTTGTTAGCTCGGATTCACAAAATTGAGGATAGAGTAGTTGATCTATCCAAGTCTATGGCCGATGGACGCTCCTTTGCAAGTACCGGCGGCGACTCCTTCGAAGACGATAATCCCTTCGACCTTTCTGACGGCCTTCGCTGGTACCTCATCGACGCCGCAGAAGAAAAACCCGGTGCGCCATCCACTCCCGGCCTCGCCAAAAGTACTGTCGCCAGCGCCAATATAGACGCCACAGCAACAATACGTCGCTCCAACAAATCTTCCAGTGGCGGCGCCGAAGGTCTAAATAAAACCCTCGCAAAGAGTCTCGATAGTCGCCGTAGCAGTAGTAATTCTAAAAAAGCTCTCCCGGTTTCTGCATCACCACTTCGGAAGACAGACTCCACGGCTTCTGTTAGTGGTCTGAGAACTATGTTTAATGATGAAGTGACGGGAACGGTCTCAGATTCTCAGGTTGTGAGGAATGGTGCTGGTGCTGTTGCGGTGGCAAATACTGAGGTTCGAAATCCTTTGGATAATCTCTTGGGCCCTTGATCATGACTTGACTCTTCTTGCGTTACTTTCATTCATGGTCATACATGTATAAATTGAATCGCACATTTTATTATGTCATGTCATGTTATGTAATGTCATGTCACATTTTCTAGAAAAAGAGAAAAAAACATACACTGATACTACGCTCGTGTTCCTAGAACATTCACATTCACAATAATTACGGGTTCCCAGCTGCTCTTGGCGATAACTCAAGAACGGGTAGTACTCTCACAAGAGAAATTTCGGCAATAAGTACAGAAGCAAGTACAAGACCTAATTCTTCAAGTAACTTGAAGAGATCTATGATTTGGGATTCGCTGTGGTCGATAGATCTTAGTTTGGAGAGTGGGAAGGGGAGTAAGACGAGGGGGTTTTAGGGGGGGGGGGGGGGGTTGTATGACAGGATTGATTTGATGGATGGATTAAATATATATAAATATTCTTTGAGTTTGAGTTCGCATTTGGGTTTGGTTTGGGTTTAGGTCTAGGTTTAGGTTTGGTTTTTGAGCTGGGGATAGGGATAGGGTTGAGGTTAGTTAGGTAGTTAGGTTATTAGGTAGTTGGGGGTTGGTATTTGGAATGGAGGGTATGTATATTATTATTTCTTCTTCTTATAAAAATAAGAAATAGGAAATAGGAATAGAGAAGATAGATTAATAATTTCTTTTATTTGATATATATTACATTATTACATCACACTACATTAAGTTATATATAATAAGTCTTACATTATATCCTCAAAACTCTCTCTCTATATTTACAGTATCTTCAATCACATACATACAACACACTATACTCTACACATCAACGGCCCCCTTTTCCCTCCCCCACTATATCGAAGAATCGATAGACGAAAGAATGAAAGAACTTTTCATATACCAACCTACCCATCTACCACTCACTCACTCATTCAATCCATTCCATTCACCCAATTTACCTACTCCACTCCATTCACTCCATTTCACTCCATTTCACTCAATTCTACTCTACCATACCATAAACCCTGCCTACCAACCAACCTACCAGTATTCACTCACTCACTCATCCCATTCATCCCATTCATTCATTCCATCCCATCCATTCACTCGCCCTATTCACTCACTCATTCATTCACTCATTCATTCAATCATCCCATTCACCCCATTCCAGCCTATCCAACTCTGATCACTCCAACATATATTCCATTTCACTCACCTCATCCATTCTCTCCATTCCACTCTACTCTACTCGAGTACTCTACCCCACTCTAGCATATCCTTAAAGTATTGATAAGTATTGATAATTTTATTCACTATTCAAACTGACTAACTGATTTTATATATTATATGTATCAAGGGTAGTCATTATCGTGTTATCATAATAGGGGCAAGGGAACGGGGATGAGGTGAGGAGACAGAAAGAAGGAAAGATAGGGGGAGGAGATGTTGGAAGTGAAAGTGTGCTTTCAACTGTACCTCACAATCATAATCACTCATCACTCATCAAATATCAGAACCTTGAATAAGATTAAACACAATGAACATGCAATGCATATTCTATTTGAGCACGAATTTATATGCTCTAATGTCAAGGCAAAAGACCGACCTCTACTACTTGACCATGGTTGAAGAGCCAAGTAACGCCCGCTTTGTAAAATTGATCCATCAACCCTTTATGTTGAAACTTTTCCCTTGTAAATCCCCTGTATATGCCGTTGAAGGACAAAATGCTTTTCCCCGGTATCATTGCAATCATTACTCATGTTGAAAGATTATCCACAACTCGCCTGCAAAAAAGAAAACCCATATAAACTAAATTTAATAACGGTAGATCTCGCTCTTGAATGGTCCCTCAACCTCAAGACCAAGGTACTCAGCTTGGACTGGGGTCAATCTGGACAACTCGGCGTTGACGTGAGACAAATGAAGCATGGCAACGGTCTCATCCAAAATCTTTGGGAGAACGTAGACACCAACTGCGAGCTTTTGGGTCTTGCCAAACTCGACGTACTTTTGGCCGAAAGCCGCATCCTCACACTTGAACAACATGATTTGAGCAAGAACTTGGTTGGTGAATGAACAAGACATGACGAAGGAAGAGTGACCGGTGGCACATCCCAAGTTAACGAGACGACCCTCGGCGAGGAGGATGATGTGACGGCCGTTCTTCATGAGGTATCGGTCGACTTGGGGCTTGATGTTTTGAACGCTCTTGGCGTTTGCCTTCAACCAGGCAACGTCGATCTCGATATCGAAGTGACCAATGTCTATTGCTAGATTAGCGATTGCATGTCAAATAAAGGGATAATACACTTACTGCAAACGATAGCGTCGTTTGGCATGGCCTCGAAGTGCTCGCCAACCAAGATGTCTCTGCATCCAGTGGTGGTGACGAAGATTTGACCGAAAGCAGCGGCCTTCTCCATTGGCATGACTTGGTATCCGGAGACAGCAGCTTGGAGGGCGTTAATAGGATCAATCTCGGTAACAATGACACGAGCACCCATTCCGTGAAGAGCCATAGCACAACCCTTTCCGACATCACCGAAACCGGCAACGACTGCGACCTTACCAGCAATCATGACATCGGTGGCACGTTTAATACCATCGACCAAAGATTCACGGCAACCGTACAGATTGTCGAACTTTGATTTGGTGACGGAGTCGTTGACGTTGATAGCTGGGACAAGAAGACCGTTGTTCTTCAACATCTTGTACAAGTGGTGAACACCAGTGGTGGTCTCCTCAGAAACACCGAAGCAGTCCTTCAACATCTCTGGGTATTTGTTGTGTACGAGTTGAGTAAGATCTCCACCATCGTCGAGGATCAAGTTCAAGCTCTTGCCATCCTTGAATGAGACGAGTTGTTGTTCCAAACACCAGTTGTATTCCTCCTCGGTCTCACCCTTCCAGGCGAAAACTGGGACACCGGCAGCAGCAATGGCAGCAGCAGCGTGATCTTGGGTAGAGAAGATGTTGCATGATGACCATGTAACCTCAGCTCCGAGGAATGTGAGGGTCTCGATCAAGACAGCGGTTTGAATGGTCATGTGTAACTAGAACATTCAACTTCGTTAGTCTTCACTCTTATCAATAGAACATAACATAAAGGCAATACATACACATCCAGCAATACGGGCACCCTTCAATGGTTGATCGACAGCATACTTCTCACGAGTAGCCATCAAACCTGGCATCTCATTCTCAGCAAGCTCGATTTCCTTGCGACCAAAGGCAGCGAGACTGAGGTCGGCGACCTATGTAGATTCAAATCAGTATATGTATGTGGCAATCAACGGTTTCTAATGGGATATTTATTTACCTTGAACTTGGATGCTGGGGCAGACATTGTCGGTGAGGGGAAGAAGATGTTGATAGAGGTAGATACTGAAAGATAAGAGTCAATTCAAGATTCCAAAAGTGTAGTTTATGAATGTGATGACTGGAATAGATGAGGTTTTGTACTTACATTTATTTTAAGGGTGGAGAGAATAAAAAGGAAGAAGAGGAGATCTGGATGTTTTAGAAAAGGAGAGATGGAAATGATGGAGGGACAGCAGAAAGTAATAATGGAGGGGTGAGAAAGATGAAAATTCAAGACTAAGCTATAATTGGTTAGATGGGTAATCCTTGAACCTACGATACTGTAACACTTGTAACAATATAACCAAACCCAACAAACAAACAAGTAAGTAAGGTAAGGAAACGTTTGACAAAGAGATATCGAAGACATTCTAATATTGTAAGACTTGCATTGTTGTTAGTGCAGTTAATATATTGTTGTTGAGTTTGCCACATATCAGACAAAAGGACCAGTATACTCGAGTAATGCTGTATGGGTGTTGTATAGATAATTTATTTAATAGATGACCGATCCTTTCTTACTCGAGTATAACTGTGAATACTTATCGAGCACTCCGTCCCGGTATTGTGGCATACGTTTCTTGAATAATGAAGTGAAGGTTTTGATGATTTAAGGTCAACATCATTGAATATGACATGTGGGTATCAATCACCGATAGCAGCAATAGCAGCAATACTTGTAGCAGTAAAAGCCTGGTAAGTGGGGGAAGGGGGGATGCATGTCGGTGGGTGGGTGGACAATTCATCAAAGTCCGTGCATTTTTGGGTGGAATACACGAGTTATCTATACATCCATAAGAAAAACTTCTCAAGATGCTTTTCTATAGTTGCTTTTTTGATCATGAATATGATCTCCCGTATGTATTGACATTTCCCTCTGAACGCCATGCCCATGCAACAAATCCCTCATAAGTGTCCTAGCTGCATTACATATGTTCCTTCTAAGATTGCTCTGGTAAGAGGTTGCTCTTTACTGCAAACATCTTTCCGGTGATGCTAGCAGTGAAGCCATCCACTTGATTTGAGTACTGCTCCACTTGTCGTGCATTCAACATACCCTCCAATCTGCTGGGTTCGATGGGAAGCTTGAATAGTCTCTCCCACTCGTCCTCGGGTAGAGGTGCAAGTTTCTGTATAGCCCTAGTAGCATTCTCCGCCGTACGCTTTGTCTTCCATGCTGTAACCTTGGTTTGCTCACGAGCCAATTGTCTTTGGAAGTATTGGAAGTTGTTAAGCTCGGTGTAATGAGTCTCGATGCTGTCCAAAAGCATATCACAAGTTCTCTCCAAGTAAGGGTCAATGGATAAGTCCAAGGATTCCAAGTTAGGGTAAAGTGGAGTTTGTGGTGTGTTTCGGGTGAGGTCTGCGAGACTGGCGGGAAATTCGAGGTCTTTCTTTGGTAGTTCGGCTGGCAATTGGTGCAAGAAGGAGGTCAAAAGATGGGAGTTGTGGACGATGATTGGTAATTCGATCAAAATGTCTTTGTATGTGAGTTTTATCTTTTGCATACTGTCATCTTGTTAGTAGTGGCCTTGTGATTGCATATTGCATAAACCTACTTCTCGGTGGTAAATTTGCCCTCCTTGTAAGCAGTCATGAAGCTTGGAGAAAGTCTGAAAGCACGTAGACTCAAAGCACCTTGGGAACTTCTGCTGACGTCGTGGACGAGCGCAACGGTTCTCTCATTTGGTTCCTTTTGGTAGAAGAATTGGTTTTCGATCAAACTGGTATTGATAAAGTTACCCATGTTTGCACTCGTGTACCATCCAACGTTATTCGCATCGACATTGACTTCCTTCAACATTTTGATCATATCACTTTGGTAAACAATGTTGGCCTTTGATCTTGGAGCTGCGGCAGCAATGTTCGAGGCGGCCATGTGGTCATTTGGGTGGGAATCCGAGGCTACGACGTCTGCTGTGGGGAATGGAAAGGAGTTTGTAATTTGAAGAGTTCCATTTGAGTCCATGCCAACGATCGATCCGGTAGCTGTAGTTGGGTAGGTTGCGGCGCAGGCCTTTACAATTTTCATGACGACCTACATATCGTATTAGCCAGAATTTCGATGTCTTGCCTATAATAATTCATACCAATGCCTCAACTTGTACTGAGTGCAAAGGCACCTCTTTGTTGGTAGTATCTGCCATAATGAAATATGGTTCAAATTCGTGATCTTTCGATTTCGAATAATTACTGCCAATATTTTAATAGGTTCTGGCGCAAATTGGAAGGGGTTCCGCGTCCAGTAGTCGTTGTCGCAAAAAGGTGAAGTGGATTTTTTTGAAGTTGAATCTATTCATTTCTGTGCGAAGTCTTGGCGTTTTTGTACACTAGCGATGGGCCGGATCCTTTAACCCCACGCGATTCTTCATCTTTTCGAACAACACAATACAATAACATATCATCAAAGAATTCCAAACTCCTCATCCATCAAGTCAATATGTTTTTGGTCATTAAAATCATAAACAGCAATTTTAATTTCACTTACACTACCAACATTTGGAAAGATGGGAGTTTCTGGTAAATTTTGAGCGTTATTCGTCTTTAATTCTGTCTATTCTATTTGTGGTATCGTGAAAGCAAGCAAACTTCTAGTAAGTCTATAAAATCATAGGTAACTCCTTCTACGCCGACCAATCCATGACGGTGGTATCAATTCAATGGGCCCTGGTGAGTATCAGACTCGGGAGGATTTTAGGCATGAGAGGTTGTCTTTCTAGTCGACCCATTGTTCAATCTCCCATCCTTTAATATCGTCCTTCACGAGGAGTCTTAAGCGTTCGACTATAAGATTAAATTAGCATTTGCCACAGAGGAAACATCATCATAAAGAATTGAGCTCACTTTTCCACTCCGTATACATGTGTCTGGCAGCGTTGGCTGCAACACGATGTTTTGGGCCGACGCTACCAATTTTAGCATCTCGAGAACTGCGCCAAAGACAAGTTGCGAGGTTTCGTCCGTTGCTATCGGGTACTCCAAACCAGTACCTAGAGACTATCAGTTATTTGCTATGCATATCGACTTTCAATACTTACTTGAGGAATCCTCCACTTTCAGTAGCCTCGGCGTGAGCAGCTTTGTCGAGAACACCAAGATCAGAGTAATGGGCGACAGTTTCAGGAGGGACTTGAGATCTAAAGACAACGATATAGAAACATTCCTCTTCCCAGGTGTGATTGGAAGTTCCTGCCAGCGCTCTAAGAGAATCTATAATTTCTTGCCACTATAGAAGTCAGTCAGTGAGCCTTTATTTTTCAGCTTTGGTTGAGATGTTGAATAGCATACGTTGAAAGTCTCGATGTATGGCGCAGTTGCATAATCTTCTCTCAAGCATTTCAATTCAACAAGAGCTCTAGCAAGTAATTGGTTTGGTGTATCTAAGGTCTCGAGATCTAGCAGATGAGGCCTTTCATCATATGGGCTAACCACCAGGTATCTATCCTCATTCGAGCTTTCGGTTTTGCTACTCGAAGGAGGGGCTTGCAAACTGGCTGAAGATTCGAGTGCCATGGAAACTTCGTGGCGTTCCAGAGTGTTGAATGGCAGAGGAAGAGTTGTAACGACAGCCATTATGTACGGAGGTATCGAAATTTCAGCTCTGATGGATTTTAGGAAATTGTGCAGGAGACAGAGATGAGATTGTAAGATATATTTTGAGGATTGGAGAAACGGAACAGATTTGATGTCTTCTAGACTGAATTGGAACGAACCCACTGAAAAGTCAAAGATATAAGAATTGGGAGGAAGGGATGAATCCAGGAAGGAGCGTCCAGGACGCAAGTGCCCAAATAGATACCACGACATGTTTTGAAATTGATAATACTAGGTACTCACACACATCTGACAGATTCGGCGGGGGGGTCGGAAGTTAAATGACCCAAGATGGTACGAAATTTGGTCCCTATTGCGCCATTATCGGGTGTTGAAGATAATCACGCCTTTCTTTGTTTTGATTGTGAATTCTCATATCAAAAATAGATTTACAATCTTACACGGAACAAAGATATATCAAAGACTTCATGGCATTATATATAAACTTTGTTTTAGAGCCTCATATCATGTATATTGTATGTACTCGAGTATATTGTATCAATATCAATTTCACCGGTCTAATGGTCTGGTCTAACGCAAAGACACCGAGCCGGTGAAATGTAACCGCACCTCACAGCAACGAACCGGACCGCATCTCTCAATCTTCAACATCACAGCTTGGGTTATTTTATTCTTACATAAAGATCCATCTGCTGATTCTGCTCAGGTGGAAAAGGAATTGAAATTCTAGATATCACTTTTCACTTTAGACGGTTAGATTGACCCAATGGGGAAATCTATTGTATTGGGTAGGTAGGTAGGTAGGTAGAGTCTTTCGTTGTCATTTACAGCTCACTAGAGTAATGGTATCTTCGATCATATTCGGTTGAATATTGGGTTTAGGCTTGGGCTTCTTATATGTTATGTGACAAGATGAAGATTAAGATTTAATTCGGATATCTGTGTGTGTGGTTGGGATGAGTTATACATATGTACATACTCGTATATACATGGCTTGTGCTGCTTTCAACCGTCTTCGGCACTCATACGAGTACATTCGGTTGGTTCATAATTACAAGTTTATATGCATCGTCATATCAGATCGATATTCATGTCTAAAATCAAATCTAGGTGGAATCTTCTTTGGCTTCTTAAAATGTCCAAGTCGGATATCTACTCGTATGTCTGATTATGGTCTATATTTCTCATTCTTTCAATATTCAGAACCGCTATCAACAGCACCGCTTACGGGCTTGACGACTGTTGTCTTTGCTAATGATCAACTCTATAAGAGTGTGATGTTGCAAACATCTACTACGTTTGTTGAGTTGCGAAGTTGAATGAAGGTTGGGTATGAGTGAAAATTGAAACTGCACGTAAGAAAGACACAGGCTTATTGAACGCAACTTTCTAATTGTCCAATAGGAGATGATACTAATCTTGGGGATAAGCTTTACGTCTCACTTTCTCTCTATCGTACACATACATGCAGGGCTTTACTGGGGATTCTTGTGGCATTAAAGATGCAATGGACCCACTATCCCCAGATTATTCGTCTCCGTCGTTATTAGCCTCCCGTCGATCTCCCAGCCAGACCCTTCCACTTTCATAAACCCCTAGATAAAGGCCGCTACCCAAAGCTGTCCAGCCTGCTCTCAACAGCGCACCTCGAAACAAGCCTTTTACCCCAGCCTCCGCAATCACTTCTCGGGCAATAGTCAAACTGCCTTTTTTTATCCCTCCAAGCTTGTCGAGAGATTGGCCCTTCTTCTTGGCTTCCTCTATCTTCTTCTTTGCCTCGTTTGCGGAATCCTCTCCTGATGCTGCGAGCATAATCCGAGTTTTCACTACGTCAACTGGAGTGGTGATGATGGCTGCAATAGATCCGGCACTTCCAGCACTAACTGCCGTTATCGTGGCTGTTTCGAGTAGTGAACCACTCATAGTTCCATTCTGTTTCCTATAGCTTTTAAGCGACTCTTTCAAGTGCTCAAACATGGGGAACTGCATTGCGGTAAACGGCAGGTTTCGGGCAGCTAACGCGGTATATCCTGTGAATAGTTGCGAAGGTCTTTTGAATTGCTTCAGTGCCTGCAATGTGACAGAGGCTCCAGATGTTGAAGAGTGCGCTGGTCGACGGATCATCTGTGCATTCTGTTTCAATACCTCCGCAGGCGTGAGGATAAAGCAAGACACAAGTTCTGCTACGGCGGACGCTGCACTGTGAACAAAAGGTTGGGGTAACAGTGGTGTATTGTCCCCACTGATACTTGTGTTTGCTTTGGTAAGAACGGATTTTATTCCTTCATATGTGGTGAAAAATGCTCCTGCTACAGAATGTTAATATTGTATACATTCAAGGTGGAGGGGACCCCTTACATGAAGGTATCGTCACTAAAATCACAGGTCCAACTCCTTGATATAAACCTCGAAATAGTACACCGCGATTAATGGCCTTTTTGGATGCATCATAGTAGATCTTCTTGTAATCTGGACTTTGAAATCGGGTTTTAAGGGTATCCAGAGGGTATACTAATAGATCGACAGCTACTGCTGCAGTCGCTCCCGCCTATGAGAGATATTAGTAACATGATAATTCATGAACAAAATACAATCATATTTTAAACCAAAGACTTTTCTTAAAACAATAATTCGAAGGTTCTTTGTGGCAAGACTTTGTACAAAATCAATCTTTTTTTTTTGCTCACCGGGAGCTTACCCTTCCAGGCGCAACACTTGCTTGCCATCACTATTGAAAAACTTCAGAAACATTGAAAACTTACGAGAAGAATGTCTGAATGTGAATTCGACATCTGAAATCATATTGAAGAAAATGAAAGACTTCAATTCAATAAGAAACATTGTTGAAATGAGGGATGGGGAGGACCCCTCGAACCATCGTCATAGAAAGCAGCTTTATCGGACGCTAAGATACGTACTCGAGTACCTGTCTTGTAATCAAAAGAAAGTCAAGCTCTCTCGCCTCAACCGTTTGGCCACTTAGCATTTGGGCAAGAAAATTTGATCGCACGCATAAACATCATACCATAAATCTATATTTCGAACAATCTTCACACTGGCGAACTTGTTTTGGTCAACAACCTCTCGTGTTGAGGTTAGAAAGACAGCTCCTCGGGAGATAATGGCGGAATCTGCTCCAATACCACAAACATTAACTCCCCAGTTTTGTTTCTCGACGGTTGCATTGAGAGGTAATTTTTTTGTTTGTTTCAAGAATATCTTGTGCTAGGACTAATTATCTATAGATTTTCTTCGTATATCTCGCTCCTCAGTTGACGATAGTATAACGCAGAATCTCAATGCGCTCGTAACGCCTTCCACGGAAGGTTTTGACCCCTCGTCTACCTCGATCCGCACTCCTCGACCCCTTCACTCAAAACAAATATCTGGTACTGCATGTCAGAGTTTCAAGGATTCAGTTCTATTTCCCTCGTGGCAGGCGAGATCGGATGTGCTGAATTATTGCGCTTCGGTTGCTACGAGTCCCGACCCTGATGACCCGGATTTGGTACAGAGACAAGTTGAGAGTGCGAGGGATAGAGAAAGGGTGGTAGATGAGAGGTTAGATCCTTATTCGGCGAGGTTCTTTCCCAAAGAGGCGCGGACGGAGAGGTTGGCTGCTATAGTGAGACAGGAAAGAGGGGTGGAGAATATCATAAGGGCGAGGAGTTGGGGGCTAGTGAGGGAAAGATGTGGAGGGGATACGGAGAATTGGGAAGAAGTTCTTGATCAGTGGAGGAAGAGTAGAGAAAAGAGTCAATTAGTTGGGTAGTGTGCATAAGCTTTTGAATATATAATTGCATAGCAGTAGGAGTTCTTGGATTGAATTGGCGGACTATATACGGAGCCTTACATGGCTATTATGGATGATCAAAACAACGAATGAGATATCAAAAGGAATAGAAAAAACAATCAACTCCACTAAGTGAAATATCTATATCTATCTCTCGCCATTTCACGGGAGCAAAGCATGATGCCTGGGGCAATCTATCAGTTAGTACAGTAATAGCTCAAACAGCTTGTGAAATATTTCCAATTTAGGTAATTTACTTGTAACACAAACACTGAATTAGGAAATCAATTAATTAGACTTGCATTACAATGCACAAGTAATCTGAACAATAACACTAGTAGATATCATAGATTCCCCCCGGGGAATAGTCGGAACTTTCCGTTATTATAAACCTCGAAAGTCCAGTAAACTTATTAAACACACGACCCCTCCAACCAACATAACTTTCCAACAGAACAGGAACCTTCCCACCTGCGAATCGAAATCCATTGTATCGACCTTCTCAAATATTTTTGACTCCTCTGATACGCCATTCACACTCTCTAGGAGGACCTTGAAGCTCTGTGAACTTTGACATTAGAATCACAAACAATATTTTATCCCCACGCTGTCTGTCGTATCTTTTCTGGCAGACTCAAGTGAGCAGCTATGCCACAACCTTTATCTTCGAAAGAGTCCTCACTCTTTAGGACTGTAGTTCGAAATTATGAAGAGAAGTTTTACAAGAAGGGTGAGCAACATATATAACTTCTACGCAGACCTTGACTTACAATCTACAGGTCTGAAAGCTGCCGACCAGATTCTAAAAAAGAATCCTAAACATGGAGATACCCTGGCCATGAAAGCTTTAATTCTAAACTCTCAAGGCAAATCCGAAGAAGCTTTTGCGCTTGCGAAAGTTGCCCTCCAATGCGACTTCAAATCACACGTCTGCTGGCATGTTTACGGGCTGCTCTACCGCGCCGCGAAAAACTTTGAGGAAGCTATCAAAGCATACAAATTTGCCCTGAAATTAGAACCAGACTCCCAGCAGATTCAGAGAGATTTGGCACTTTTACAAGTACAAATGCGCGATTATTCGGGTTACCTTGTCAGTCGCAGAGCTATGCTAGCTGCTAGATCTACTACTCGACCAAGCTGGACTGCGTTAGCTGTAGCACTTCATCTCAATGGCGAATTAGCAGAAGCGGAACAAGTCATGACCACTTATGAGGAAACCTTGAAAAATCCACCATCCAAAATCGATTTCGAGAACTCGGAAGCTATCATGTACAAGAACTCGTTGATCGCAGAACAGGGTGACTTTAAGAGAGCTTTGGAACATCTCGAATCGGATGGAAAACACAATCTTGACCGGCTGGCTGTGATGGAGCTAAAAGCAAAATATTTGTTCGAGCTTGGGCGAAAAGAGGAAGCTGTAAAGGCATATCGTGCGCTGGTGGATCGCAACCAGGAATACAAGACCTACTATGATTCCTTGATCCAGGCTATGGAGATCGATCCAACCGATTTTAAGGCTCGGAAAGCTGTCTACGATGAATATGCAGAGAAATACCCACGATGTGACGCTGCGCGCCGATTACCGTTGGACTTCTTAGAGGGCGAAGAGTTCAGGGAGCTCGCAGACAAGTACATTCATCGTATGTTGGATAAGGGGGTACCATCTACATTTGCAAACCTAAAGCATTTGTACGCCAATGCCTCCAAGAAGGAAGTCTTACCGTCTGTTGTCCAGCAATATATTGAGAGTGGAAAGAGCGAAGATAGTTCGGAGCCAAAAAGGAATGGTGACACATCCAAGGGCAATTCTTCAGCTTACTACTTCCTCGCACAACACTACAACTACTATTTGAGCCGCGATCTTGACCAAGCTTTAGAGTACATTGAAAAGGCAATTGAATTAGAACCCAAGAGCGTAGACTTCCACATGACAAAGGCACGTATTTTTAAGCATCAAGGAAATACCCAGAAAGCTTCTGAGATCATGGAGGAAGCTCGCAGTCTCGACACTAGAGATCGTCATATCAACACCAAGGCCGCCAAATATCAGCTCAGAAATGATGAAAACGAAAACGCTCTCAAGACTATGGGTATGTTTACAAGACTTGAGACTGTTGGAGGGCCGCTAGCAGATCTTCATGATATGCAATGCGTCTGGTTTTTAACGGAAGATGGAGAATCTTATGCTCGCCAAGACAAAATTGGCTTGGCTCTCAAGCGATTCACAGCAGTATACAACATTTTTGACGTCTGGTATGAAGATCAATTTGATTTCCATTCTTTCTTCTTACGTAAGGGTCAAATCAGAGCTTACGTAGATATGATGAGGTGGGAGGATAAAATCAGAGAACACCCCTTTTATAGCCGAGCGGCTCTTTCGGCAATCAAAGTCTACCTCTCGCTACATGACAAACCGGCATCAAACGGCGTCAATGGAAACACGAATGAATCTGAAGAAGATGCTCTTGAGCGTAAAAAGGCAGCAAAGAAGGCGAGAAAGGAAGCGGAGCGCCTTGAAAAGGAAGCCCTGGCTAGGAAGAATGAACCAAATAAGCCGGTAAAGGATCAAGATGGCGAAATAAAGAAGAAGGATGATGATCCTAATGGCGAGAAATTGGAGGCGACTGCGGAACCATTAGGGGATGCGATGAAGTTCTTGAGTCCTTTACTTCAATTCAGTCCTAAGAATATTGATGCGCAAATTCTTGGGTTTGAGGTGTTTATGCGTAGAAGTAAGTTTCTTCTCTCTCACTCTCTTTCTCTCTCTCTTCTCATTCTCTCTATCTAAATACGACTACTTTGTCTCTGTGTATATGTACATACAATCAGATACTAACACATAAAACAGAAAAGTACCTCCTCGCACTCAAATGTCTGATCGCAGCCTCAACTCTCGACACCGAACACGAAAAAGTGAGCGAACAGAAGATTCGCTTCAAGAATGTTGTCGATGGAGAGCTCGAGGGTACAGAACCAAAGGTCGTAGAGCTTATCAAAGAGGAATTCGCAAAATTGTGAGAGTGAGCTGGGGGATATTGATATTGTTGGGCTGGTACGGATGGATGGTACGGATGGTCAAGAGAAATCAATCAGTTAGTTGGGTGCTGGGTGGGTGTGTGGGTACAAAAGTTTCTCTATATAGTTATTTAGTGCTAGGCTCTTGGGTCGATTAGATTATCGCATCTTGATCTTGGGTGCAGGGCATGGCATAGCATAGCATGGTATGTATGTATGTATGTATGTATGGTATGATATGGTCTGATATGGTATGGCACGGCTTGGCATTGCTGGATATAATATTCAGTATGGACTTTTTGGTCTACTTCTGCTTCTGCTGCTGCTTCTGCTTCTACTTCTGCTGCTTTTACTTCGTGTGGTTTGTCTTGTCTTATCCCGTCCCGTCCTGTCCTGTTGTAGTGTATCTTGCCTTGAGTATCGGTGAATGAAAGGGATGGAAAGGGAAGGTAAGGGAAGGGAAGAGAAGGGAGGTGAGTAAAGAGAGAGAAATGAAATAGAGTAAATGGATATCTCGTATACTTCGAGCATACTCGAGTACATGTATATCGATGTATACATTTGATTTTTGATATTTAAAAAATTTAATTTGGATATTGATGTTGTAGAGATGGGTATTATTTTGCTTAAAGGATATGACACAATACTATATATACAATAAAGCACAGACAGTATCATACAGTATTGTACAATCCATACCATCCACACTAAACTAAACCGACTATTTCGACTTTCCCCCTTTCCAAGATTATTAGCCGCGGGGCTGAATAACACGTCTGGTCCAATAATCTATTGAATGATCATTTAATCCTACACCGTAGCCTGACGACTTCATCCTAGCTAGGCAACTTCATATATCACATATGCCAATCCAATCATTCATTTTCCTGGCCCTCATTCCCCTGTTCCCAAGGTTTCTTCTCCTTTTCCCCTGCAAACCACTCCAAGCCCGCACGACCCAAACTCCTCACACTTCCCTTGATCCACCCCTCTACCTCCTCCTCACTAACGACTATCCTCTTCGCCTTCTCTTCTTCTTCTTCTGTCAACTCCGCTTTGCGCATTCGAGACGCTATGCGCGGATCTAGAGTGATGGGTTCTAACCATGTTCTTTCTGGTTCTGTGGGGGTACGGATGCGGACGGATTTATGCCATTCTTTTTCTTCTTCTTCTAGGAGGGCTGCTTGTTCGGGTTCGGAGGATGATGAGGATGATTCTGGGGATGATGGGGAGGAGGGAGAGGAGGGAGAGGAATCGTGGTAGGGGCGATAGGTAGCCAGGATAATGGCAGCAGTGTCGCGACCGATTTGATCGGCGAGATAGCGACGATTGAGGAAGCGACGGAGACGGGTAGGGGTGTTGAGGAAACCGAGGATGTGGGGGAAAGAGATTGCAGCTGAAGGGTCTAGTTCTGCTGGGAAAGATGAGGGAAGGGTTGCGGATGCGTAGTCCGAGGTTGAGATGAAGGGGGATAGTTGTGATGGTTTTTTATTCTTGTCTTCAGCGGGTTTTTCTTCGGGGATTGGTGGGGGTGCGGTGGGTGATGCATCGTCGGGTTTGGAGGGGTCGGTGTTGGTGCTGGTGTGGACTGTGGTTCCTAAGAGAGAATCGACTGGAGTCTCGGCTTCTGGGGTTGGAGCTGATGTTTCTGCTGCTTCTGGGATATCTTCCATGGGTTTGGGGGGTTCGGTTAATGGTCCTAACCAGCCTTCATGTACACCCCTGATATATTCTTTCCATGTATGTCGTCCAAGTACTATATCACCTCTGGGCCCATCAAATTCCTTGATTCCAGAGCTCTTCCGTGTCGCTAAAATAGGGTCCTGCTCCTCTGCTCTCTGCTCCAAAGGTAGTCTCGTATTACGAATTTTCTCGGCCAATTCCGCTCGAATATCTCCCTCTTTCCTTCCTTGTATAAACTCCCAATCTAACCCTGAAGCTACCAATATCGGCTTGACGTATTCCTTGAAATGATCTTGCGCAATCCGTAGGCCATCAGTAGGTGGTCCTTCTAGGTAAACAGTAAGTTTCCTTGGCATCGTGCGAGAATCCCCCAAAGGTTCTTTCGCAATGTGTTCCACCAATCTACACCATTTCCTCTGCGCCCTCTTCTTTTCCCTCTTGTCGTAGACGACGGCTGCGGTGAAGGACCCGGTGATGGAGAGGAATATCATCCAGTTTCGGGATGGAACTCTAGGTCGAAAGTTTTCACCAAATCCTAGGTACTTCCACATAGGATTGGGTGGTTTCTGTTTCGCAGCAGCTTTCGCATCGACCTTAACTTCTGCATTTGCAGCAGAAGCTGGCTTCTAAGACCTTGTTAGTTTAAGCTCTCCAGATGAGTCTTTGAGCTAGGGGAATCACCTCTGCTTCGGGAATTTTCGAGTCTGACATTATGGTGGGTGAGTATTAATCTCGCTCAACCGTAAGACTAAAAGGTTATATGCTCCCTCGTGCTTTGAGCAATTGCTCTTGGGATTATTACTGGTTGATCAACAGTTCTTTGCTTGTGTTTGAATCTTTTTCGAAAATCGGAGAAATCTTTCGCCGGTCTCACGTGCGGAAAATGCTCTTATCGATAAGACCCATGGTTTATGGTTTATGGTCTGGTTGTCTGGTCTGGTGGGTCTTGGCATTGTGACATCCCGATGTCGCAGGGCCGGATAAAGAAGCTTGCCTTCTCCGTAAGCCCTTCTCTGTAAATCTATATGTACGCCATACCTAGGTATGAAGATCATTTGGGATTCAAAAAGATCCAGTACATAGGTAAACACTATAATTTAACCATATATATGGTTATGATATGATAATAACGGCCATACTGTACAATTAATTGTGGTGGTTTTCTAAGATGGTAAAGTTCTTGATTCTAGTTCTTGATTCTAGTCCCGTCCTTGCTCTTAGGTTAGCTCCGGATGAGAGATACCTGAAGTGAAGGAAGCCAGCCAGGGCCCACGTGCTACTACTGTAACTAAATATCAAAAAAGGGGACGACGGGTAGGGATAGCTGGTCTTCACCGGACCGTAGCCATCAACGGGTAGGGAGGATAGATAGCTGCTGGTTCTTCTCACCGGACCCCTCGCCATCAACTAAAATAACATCATCCGCGAGAACCCATCAACCTTAATTCTACAACATCATTGAGATTATATACAAGACTGAGTCTGAGAAATAAACAAAACCAAAGTTGTAACTGTAGCCACCAAACTTCTTCCGAGGTGTACCTAGGTAAGGTAGATATTTCTTGTGGGGAATAAATGCTACCGCTTCGTAAACAGTAGCGCAAAGCAAAGTAACAAGTACAAGTATTATTTATGGCTCAGACATATTTGGAAGAGAAGAGAAGATTGGCGTACTAAACTAATGAAGAAGTAAGCAGAAGTAAGCTAATAGGTGGTAGAAAATGTTTGATGGCTTGTCTTTGTCTGCTTGTGACACCTAGGTATCTACCGAAGAAGGGGAAGTGTTTATACAAACAGCTCAGCCAGTTAGTTATTAAATAAAAAGATAGTACTGTACAAGAAAATAGATCATAATGGGTGAATTTCATATATTATCTCATTTTCATTATTCAGACTTGGCATAGCCATAGTATAGCATAAAAAAGTTAATCGGATGAAAAGAGAAGCTTAAGAGAAGCCTAAGAGAAGGAAGGAGCATAAGAAGAAGGCGATAAGCAATGAAGTTTAACCTAGAATTCTCTAATTGCATTAATCTATTTTAGGAAAGGCTTATCACCACGTGATATCAAAATGATTGAAAGCAGCCATTCCATTCTTGAGTTGAAGAAAGAAAGAAAGAGCCAAAAGTTAAAGATAAGAAGAATTGCCCGGAATTGGAAAACATCTTTGTTGTACTTCATTCCACTACCTCATTGTCCCATCCCTCGTGATTCTACAAAAGGCGAGGGGTACGAAACTCCACTTACTTTTTTGGCTATGGCTCTGGCCAGGATGAATAAAAAGATAGATATAGTACTTTTTTAGCCTAGGATGATATTTAGTACTAATAAAGTAGTACGTACCTGTACTATAATGGTATGGAATAATAGAAGTAAGGAAGATGAGAAAGAGAATAGACCAGACAGCTAGACCAGACAAGCTAGATCAATACTAGTATAGAGATGATTCTTGGTAGAGGAATACAATAACAACAGTAATCATATCATATCTCCTCATACAAATAATAAAGAAGAAGGCTACCAGTATTATGACCAGAAAGCTATATCAATCTTCCATGTTTATATGAACTCTCCCAATATATCAATAGCATCAACATTATCATAATACAATTACCATCTATACCTTTGATCTTTGGTTGAGTTTTTCCCTTTATCCTTTATATTGATGGAATTAAGCCTTGAGCCTTGAAATGATGAATGAGCCTTGATGGATTGATTGAGCTTTCATTATCATTATTATTTACCTCTTCTCTTCTCTTCCGTAATAAACTTGGAAAATACCAGGAATGCATATTAAATGGAAGAATACCCAATCAAATTAATCCAAATTAATTCCTCAAGCGACCACCGTAAGCTCTTGCATATTTTTCCCTTACAGTTTGAAATGCCCGCAAAATTGAAAAAAAATCAACCCACCCACCTAAATTCCCCATTCTCTCCTTACCTACCTACTTACTTCTTTTCCTCACCCAAAATCTCTACCTACGAAAGTCTGTACACGCAAAAATAATCACATACAACATACACATACAACAACTTCTTCTCTGGTAAGCAATCACCCAATAATTCATATCATTCATATCCATCCATTTACTTTTATATTGAACTTTAACTTCATAATACTATTGAAAAAGTGCTTTGATTTATATCAAAAACTCCATGTTTCAATAAGTATTCGTTCTATTTGTACTTCATTTCATTTGGAAATACCTTCTTACAATTGCTTCTCTTTTTCAACTTAACCTTCATCGGCGCGTCATCTTGTAGTCGCGATATCACTCTACCTAAGTAAGAACTTCAACTGATTCAATTTCATCTCGTTACAGATCAACCACTCTTTTTTACAACTTCGATAACTCTTTAAATCCATCAACAAGTAAGTTTTCCCATTCATTTCCAACTTTCATCGCTTTCAAAATCAACGTCGTGGGAAAGTTATTACTTTTGCGACTGGATTCCACCTCACAATTTATTCGCAACGTCAATTCTATACACACACGCGCGATCACAACCAAAAAAAAATACATCATTCAGTCGTCGACTTTTACTCCACCACAACCAATTTTCATTGTCATCGTCGCAAATGTATTACGGTCGCATAAACATTTCAATCAATTGTACTGACTTTAATTGTTCTCAATCAGACATCCAACATGCCAAAGGAAAAGGCTCCCAAGCGCGCTACCAAGGCCAAGACTGAGAAGAAGAAGAAGGGTATGTTAACTTTTCATTGGCTGTCGCTCTCGAGAAACTCACTTACTAACTCATTCTCTCATAGATCCTAACGCACCAAAGCGTGGACTTTCTGCCTACATGTTCTTTGCCAATGAGCAACGTGACAATGTTCGTGAGGAGAATCCCGGAATCACTTTCGGTAAGATCTTAATCCCTCTCATACCCATCATTGCAATCACTAACATGATTTAAAATTATAGGTCAGGTCGGAAAGGTTCTCGGTGAGCGCTGGAAGGCTTTGAATGAGAAGCAAAGAATCCCTTACGAGGAGTCTGCTGCCAGGGATAAGAAACGTTATGAAGAGGAGAAAGCCATCTATAACGTGAGTCTCGTGAGCTCATCGATCCCCTCTAAAACTTTTACCACTGCTAACCAATCAATTTCACAGGCCGATGCCGAAGAGGAAGAATCTTCTTAAGAGATTTTGGTCACCACTCAAACTTCACACTTCATCCAGACAATGATAGTCCGATAGTTACCTAGTCCCTATCTTCAGACCATCACTATCAAGATGATTTAAACATACAAGTTGGGAGGTTCCTCGGGGTTTCCAGATTGATTCTTCTTTTCTGCTTTTCATTTGGGGGCCGGCGTGTTATGTTTGCACAGGGGATATGGGATTTGATCAACGTATGCCTTTTCTTTTCGTATCAGCTCTTTGGTGGATGATGACGGTGATGTTGCGGATCTTTTTCTACGCGATCGATGTTTTTAATGGATCTGGTTCAGATCTGGTTCAGGTCTTCAAGATATGAGATTTGAGCAAGGGTGATTTAAAGTCACGCTTTTTTTTATTCTCAAGGCTTCCTTTTATGATTGATCTTCTAGGATTTTTCAGGAGGACTCATCTAGGATCCTAGAGAAGAATCGAGATGGTCACTTCTACATCTATCGTACAATCAAGCAACAAACCCAAGGCGTGGCGTGTAATAATGATACCGTTTGTAATCTAGCTTTCGTTTAAATTTTTGCTGCTGCTGTTGAATTTGCTTTTTGATTCTGGGGTGTGATATGATGTGATATGATGTGAGGGTAATTTGTGTTGTAATATTGATTCTGAGTGTGGTGAGTGTGATGTGATGGTAATATTGTAGTTGTAATGACTGTATTATCGCTTGCTCTGCCTCCCCAGTTTCAAATATGCAGTGAGTGTATGATGCCCATATGAATAGATTGATAAATATATACTCGACTAGATACCGACAATTATTACAGTCTCGACTCGATATTGTCATCATCGGGAACAATGAATGAAGGATCGGTTGGTATCTGGTTCTGGATACTGGATTCTAGACATTTTTGCTTCCTTGGAGGGGGTTGCGTTTGTTTTTTTGTGTGGTTGGTGTGTTTGTCTTGAAGCTGAGTTATGAATGAATGAGTGGATAAATGGATGGATGGTTGGATAGATGAATAGAAAGAAGGAAAAAGGAAGAAATTAATAATATATAAATATTTGTTTGTTTGTTTCTTTACTCGAGTACTTGCTTGTTTATTTGTTTGCTCTTGGGGGAAAAAATTGAGTTTACGGGGTGGGGTGTAGGAAATTCTTGAGAGAGATTCTTGGGAGGAAAAGATTCTTGGGGAAATTGTACAGTATTTTGATGACGTTGTTGTGATGGGATGGGTTGGTATGGGTCAGGTTGGGATGAGATGGATTGGGAAGAGGGCTAGATGTTTAGTTAGGTGACTAGACTGGACTAGACTGGACTAGACTGGACTAGGTGGCTAGATGTTTAGTTAGGTGGCAGGATGGATGGATGGATGGATGGGTGGGTGGCGATGGTGCCGTTGGTAGTGCGGTTGGTAGTGTGGTTGGTAGTGTGGTAGGTAGTGTGTTGTGTTAATTTAGGTTGGTGAGGTGAGGTGAGGTGAGGTTGAGGTGAGGATGGGTGTTAAAAAAAAATTGGGTTGAGGATGGTTTTGATGATGGGGATGGGGATGAGGATGGTGCTGGTGTTGGTATTCTAGGACAGTTCGGGAGGATTTGAGGGGTGAGGGAAGGGGAGGGAAGGGGAGGGGAATGAGGAGTGGGTGAATGAGGAAGTAATGAGGAAGGAATAAGGAAGTGATGAGGAAATGGTAAAGAAGATATTCATAATTTACACTGATGAGTGAGATGTGTGTGTATATGTTATTATTTTTCTATCTTACAGTTTTGGGTTTTGGGTTTTGGAAGAAGGTATGAAGATGGAGATAGAGGGGATATACTCGAGTATAAAGATACCTAGGTAGGTATACAACACGAAGATATATAAATATATAATGTCCTATCCCTATCAGATATGTACGAGGTAGTTCCTCACTTCAATATGTACATACCTACCTACCTACATACCTATATATCTACTTAAGAGTATTCTTGCATCGTATCTGCAGATAGGCTGGGTGCATGTATGTATGCATGCATTCATACATGCATATCTTATTATATCATATTGTTGTGTCATTGGTATATCATTGGTATATTGGTATATTTCCTGGGGAGGGGAGGGAAGGGGATGGTTTTATGGTTTTGGGTTTGGGTTTGGGTGTATTATGAAAAAAAAAGAAATTCGTTGGTGGTGGTGTTGGTTGTTGGTGTTGGAGGTATGGTTCAGATGGATGATTGATGTATTGCTGTATTGCTGTATTGCTGTATTGGTGAGTATCTTTGATGTTTGTTTTGGTGTTTGTTTGAGGATGAAGATGGAGATGGAGATGGAGATGGTCTAGAAATAAGTATTTCTCATTGTTTTGTATAGTTCGTTGGTGAGATGGGATTCATAAATAGAATCGAGATAAAACCTAATAAGGTACGACAGGCAAGAAGTTCCTCTGTAACTGTTAGAAATATATGCATCTATCTATATTGTATCTGCAGTAATTTTTTTGATAAGAGGCTTGGTGTTTTTCGTTGGTAATAGGTGATTGGTGATTGATGATACTCGAGTAGTTAATTGATTACAATTGATGGGCTAGAATAAATCATTGTAAAGATATTGAAGAGTACCTATGTACTTCAATCATTGGATATAGTTACGATACCTACCTTAGGTATCTTCCCGATGAGGAGTTATCGGTTGAATACTGCTCGGAACACTGCATGAGTAAGAAACGGGATGCGGGATGCGGAATTGATTCGAGTACATACCGATACAATTCATTGTAATCTTACATTTCTAAATGGATGGACTCGAACATAGCCAGAACACGGCGGTTACAATTATAATTACATGCAAAGAAATCAAGTGATTTTTCCAGTTAAAAGTATGGAGTTGATGGATGACAATGTCAATCTATCCAGTCAGCATTTCCGATCTTGCCATGACGGATACTTGAGGTAGTATCGCATATTACATTATTACTCGTACTGTACAATAAGGTAATATTCACTCACAACTTTGGTCAATTCGTCTAAACCATGAATTCAAGTACCCTTTTCTATGTCATTAGCCGTGGTCACAGCCTTGCACGATTCGTTCGCTCGTCGTTATCATTCTTCTGCCGCTCTGCGCCATTAATTGCTGACATCCTGGATATACTGTACAGATATCGTGGCATCATATCACAAGTGTCTTTACCAACGATCGTTGGTGATTATATTATCCATCCGAGATACTGTATCCCATGCGCCAAATAAACGTTGCAAGTAAATACTGTATTGCTGCTGCAACCGAGATTCACAACGGCATTTGGTTCGTCCCCTGCCTCGAGTTCATGCACGTTGTTCGGATGTTATCATACATAGATGGATATGTATGGTAGGTAGGTAGTAGTGAGATTGGATTGCCCAAATGCGAATAATTACTGGTGGGAATTGATCATGCAGGATAGGAAGGGGGTATGAGAATACAATGAATCGGGTTTATATTTATATGGATTGAAGGGAGGGGAGTGGTTGATGTGATATCCCAATGGGTTTTGACACGTCAGTCGTACTAAGTAATTATAGGACTTCCTATCTGCTAATTTTATCGTCAGCAGCAGAGCCGCGGGTCTATAAATTTGACGGGTGCGAACTTGGGGTTAGGTGCTTCGTTTTATTCATGTATGTATGTATGTATGTATGTATGGGTTGGTTACTTAGGATATGATTCTCCGCTTTTTTGCTTCCGTTCTTCAATTGGTACTTTGAATTGACTTCGAGTTTGAGTCGCATGTAATGCAATGTGCATCTAAATATCATGTACGAAATCACTCAATGATTGAGCATTCTTTTCTTTTCCTTTCCTTTCCTTTCCTTTCAACATAATTCATCCATCGCATCCCATCATAACTTAATGTCGACTTCCCAGCACCACACAGTAGCAGTAGCAGTAGCAGTATGGAGACATTACACGGATGCTGGCTTGAAGCCGACCGCGCCGATTCCGTCGCCACCGAACTCCTTCGCATCCGCAGCGTTCTAAATCCCATGACTTCATCCTCATCCTCACCCTCCTCTGCACACGCAACCTCGCTCTCCGCTCCCAGCTTCGACCACGAAATCATCACTGCCATCCTACGACACGTCGAACAAACCTCTCGGCTGCTGCGCGACCTCCATGATCTCTTCCCCATCTACCGTCTTCGCGTCGCTATCGTCATCTATTATCTCACAGTCATCTTACCATGCCTTCAGAGAACCTTGAGAGATATGCTGGAGTTTCTCACGTGTGAGGATTTCTCGCCCCGCGTGAAGTGGGCGTTGATGCATGAACGGTTGAATGAACAGGGGGGTATGAGTTTGGCGTTGAGGTTTGTTATGTATGGGGATTTCTTGGTGCAGCTAGTTAGGTTGTTGAGTAGGTGAGTGAAGGCGAGGTTTCTTTTCATGCTTGCTTGTAGAGCAGAGCTATTTGAAGGTGCGATGTGGAAATGTTTAAACGTTGAGTTTGGTGGAATTCATGGGGTTTGATTGGATAGAGAGGTAACGGCGGTCAGCATTAGATCTCCTACATATGATCCCACGACCCTGGAATTGTTGCGCATAAGAATTATAAGGCTGAGGACTTTGAGGGGAATTCCTCGTACGTTTTATCTATTCTTCGTTCCTCGATTTTTCCTCCTTTCATCTATTATCGTACATCATCACATCACATCTGGATCCCCATCCATTCTCCATCCAAAAACATCTACAACGAAAATATGAAATATGGATCATTTAACCCTCGCACCCACAATTCTAGCACCCCCAATCCCAATCCAGCCACATCTCGCCCCTGCACAACCAAGTCTCATGGATATCGAGGTATGTTAAATTTAACCAAACTCATCCCATATTTTGCTGTCGCGATCAAGAAGAGAGGACAGGAGAGTCTTATGGGAAGTATAATAAGAAAGGGAAAGACTAATGTTAAGATTTTGATGGTGTATTTAGAGACGTCATTGGGCGGAAAAGATATTTGATGATCATGTTCAACCCCTTTCGCAAACTTATTTGAAACATAGGCGAGAGTAAGTTTGTCTTTTTCTTTTCTTGTGGACTTATGAGTTTCTGGGCAGAGTACCAATTTTCTAGGCTAGGCCGAGGCAGAAGGCGAATCAAACTCTTGTCTTAAGATGTGATGTGTAGTATACCGAGGGAGTGGCTCGGAAATCGTCGATGACTGATAGGATTATTTTGTAGCTCGAAATGTTTCGGTCCATCAATGAATGAGGCTAGGTTGGGTATACCTCCTCAAACAAAAGTTTTATTTAAATTGTACGTCTACCTCCCCCATTCATCTCCTTCTTCCCCTTTCCTCCTTTCCCCCTCTCATCTCTTTCCTCCCCTTATCATTCTCCCATTCTCCCATCCTCCCCTTCCCAACACAACTAACCCCCATCCCAAACCCATAGACCCTTTGATAAAAACCGCCTCTCCATAACCCTCTTCCTCGACGATATCACTCTCGATTCTCCCCGTTTTCTTTGTCGCTGGATGGATAAATACAATGCTCCTCACTATTCTTCCTATGGAATACATGAGTTGTGTGTTAAAAGACGTGGGAGCGCGTTGCTTTTTAAGAGGTGGAGTGAGTATAAACAACTTCCGACGATTTGGATGGCGTTGTTTTTTAAGTGAGTATTGTGTTTGTTTGTTTTTTTGGTTAGGGGAGGAGAGGGGAATGGAAAAAGGGAACTGGGGAAAAGTAAATGTGTAAAGGAAAGGAGAGGAGCGGACAGGGGAAATGGAAGTTGGAGATATTATATGCTGACTTAGATGTTGTGAAAGGACATGGCAACGTTAGTATAATCTCATGAATCCTTCACTTCCCTTTTCAAATCGGAATGAGTTCGAAATAATATATGATAGAAGGTTGTAAGTTAACAAACCGATACACATCACAGGCATGGTACTCTTCCACTGCTCCTTCGTAGCACTCAAAGCGCGCTCCCAACTCACGAATCTCATACCGAAAGATGATTATACTATTGCTGGGGAAGTGCAAGTTTTCCAGGGGTACGTTATGTATTTGTTTCCTTGCATCTATGTTAGCTTCTTCTTTTTTCATCCATATCATTATCTTCTTTTTGTTTCCTTACTTCCATATTCTGGGAAACTTGGAGAGGGAGGAAGTGTATAGGATGGATTGGATTGGATTGTATTGAGTCAAAAATAAATTGCATGTCACTAACCGCAGTCATTGAAATAGTCAAATAGTAGATGATGGATTTCACCACTCTCTTTATGTCTACGAAGATCCTCATAGTCATAAATGGAGACTTCATGTTGCAGTTGCGAATGGAGAGTTGAAGAGATGTCCGATTTGGACGGCTTTTGGTACATTTCCAATTTCTTTTTTCCCCTTCCCCTTCCTCTTCCTCTTCCCCTTCCCATATCTCTCTTCCCCTCACTTCATCCCACTTTATCCCACTTCATCCCACTTCATCTCACCAACCAAAAAACCCAACCCACAGTAACCGACCTCCAAATCACCTCCGATACCTGGCTAGCCCGCCACTCGCGCCACCGCGTTTGGGTCAAAGATCTCCACATCTATGTTTTCTGCGATGATTATAATCGACGGACGCAGGTTAGGAAACATGGGGAATTTGAATTGTATTTTGTTCATGGGGCTGGTATGTTTTTTTTTTCTCTTCTCTCAAAGGGTTCTTTTGTTTGTTTGGGTTCTGAGAAAAGGAAGTAAGATCCTGGGGTCCGGGAGAGAAAATCTTAAGTTAGGACAGGAAAGTATCTGCGGTAAAAGAGAAAAAGACAAAAAGACATCCCAGATAGAAAGAAAGAAAGGAGAAATAAAGAAAACCAAAACCCAAGAAAATCACTAACACAACCCAACCCAACCAAACAGCAGCAGATGCATTCATCGAAATCTTCAACCCCATAGACTCGGAATCCGAATCGGAAAGTGAAATTGGAGTTGAGCGAGCAATTGAGGATACACCTAGACCTGAATCTCCTGATGAATAATAATTAGGAAACGATATTTATTTTATTTTCTGAACATCAATCTTCTCCTCGCCCCTTTAATCGGAGCCCGAGCCCCTTAACTTATCTCGCCTATACATACCTACTATGGCACGGCACGAATGGAGACGAAACGAAAGGAAACGAAATGTTCATATTCTACTATACTCTACTCTACTCGGCTGGTTATATTCTGGGTGATGATTGAATGAATGAATGAATGATCTATTTTCCAGCACTACCTATTACTCAACCTCAATCTCAATCTCAACCTCAACCTCAACCTCAACCTCAATCTTGAGTTTTATACACACACACACAGGCACACAGGCACACAAGCACGCACACACGAACACATGAAGCTCGCTCTCGAAATTACAGTATGAAAACTTACAGTATGAAATTACGAAATTACGAAATTACGAAAAATTATGAAATATACGTTTTACTTTCCGATCCGCGCCTCCTCTTCCTCTCTCTGTTTTGAGTCTTCTTCCTCTCCATATCAAATATCAAATATTCAATATTCAACAATCACAAGCCGATCACAGGTTTACCCAGAGTTTCTTCTAACTGTAAATTTCTCATTAGTTGGAAAATACATTTATTTGTCTTCCTCTTCCTCTTCCTGTTCCTATTCCTATTCCTATTCCCTTCCTCATCCCTTTCCCATTACTCACGCACAATATCCTCTCATTTCCCTTTTCCTATTCCTATTCCTATTCCTATTCCTATCCCTTTTTCTCCCCTCCTTTTCTATCTCTATTTTCTCTCCTCCTTTCCCATCTCTATCATTACTCGAGTAAAAATGTGAGAGAGTTATAATACTCGTATAACAATAATAAAATTTCCAATAATGCTATATATACCCAGAGGATTATCTTATCTTACCTTATCTTACAATCAATTTGATGTACTCGAGTATATTCATATTCATATTTATATTCTATTCTATCTCTAATTATGATTTGTTTTTCAAGTTATTTTTTGGCTTTTACTCTTCTTTCCTTTCCTCTCCTTTCTCTCCTT